TATATACTGTTATTTTTAAGCTGTTGCAAGCCCATTGACTGATGCAGCAACGTTCGCCGTGGCGCATTCCCCACTCCGTTGTATCTCGACCGTCGGCGCGTCGCCCGTTATCGATGGTTGTCGAAATAACACATTTTTCATACTAGTCGTTTTTTGGAATTGCTTCGAACTGCTTAGTATTTCGTGGCCATGCAGAGCGCCGACTTCGTTTCACGAGCGGTCGATCTCTACGTGTCGTTATTTTATATCTGTTATTTTTTAGAAGAAGCAACGGTTGCATTATGTTATTTCCAAATAACTGTTGTAAAATAACAGATAGCTAAATAACAACCCATATACACTCTCTTTTCCTCTTCTTCTTTCTCAGCCTGGGTCCATCCAGTGTTGGATATACGCCTCTTCTAGGTTTTTCCATGCTTCGCGATCTCTAGCCAATCTTATCCATTGTCTTCCCGCCACTGCCCTGACGTCATCGACCCATCTCTTTTTTGGTCGGCCCACACTTCTTGTTGTTCCCCTAGGTCTCCATAGGATTATTTTTTGGGGCCATCGGTCTGGATCAGTCTGGATCCTGTCTTGCCACATGTCCTATCCTAAGGTCCTATCCATTGCCACTCTTTTAACGACATCTATTAATTTTGTTTTTTGACGTATGTGGGTATTCCGTATTTTTTCCCTAATGGTGACTCCCAACATGATTCTTTCCATGGCTCTTTGTGCTACTCGTAGTGGTTCTGCTGTTTTTCGGGTAATTGCCATAGTCTCTAAGCCATACGTAAGCACAGGTAGAATGCAGCTGTCGTAAGCCTTTTTCTTTAGGTTCATGGGCACCTTTTTATCCTTGAAAATATCGCTCATATTTCCAAATACTACCCATGCCAAATTGATCCTGCGTTTGATCTCCGTATTTTGGTTTTCCTTGCTCAGCTTGATTTTATGAGCTAAATATATATAGTGGTCTACGTTTTCAATAATAACGTTGTCCATATACACTCTATTATCTAATAATTATTTTATTGGGTAATAAAAAAATACATAAAACACTAGTGTACAAAACTACTCAATTTATTTCAGAAGATAGAAAATTTACAATATGACTAGTGTAAATAATAAATCACCAATTAAAAGCATTCCTTATCTTTATCAATCACTTCCTATAAATAACCTAATAGTAACTTCTTAAATAATTTTTGGTATTACATATTTTATTTTACAACTAAAATCTTTGATAACTTAATATTCAAACTTTCAAAATGAAATTGTAATACTTTGCGATTTAATTCATAAATAAAATTGCAAAATCAATAAATATTACGAGTATTGTTTATTGCTACATATTATTTTAAAATTATAAAAAAATTAGCAATTTTTAAAAGTAATTTCAAGATTTTTTCTTATTATTTTGATTTTTGATAGAAATTTAAAAAAATACTGTGCCGTTTAAGTAGTTATTTTGTAAAATTTATTTAATAAATAGTAAAAAAAATTATGTACATATATAAAGAAAACGGTATTTAATTTTGTTGAGTTGTGTTTGATACTGAGTCACTGATTATAACACCAAATTAAATAATCAGAGTAATAAATAAACGTGAATGTAAAATATATATATTTATATGCTAAATATGCTTATTTAATTAATAATGGGGCTATGTTTATATGCTAAATAAGCGAAAATGAGTAATATATATGAGAAAATAATATGTAATATATTCGAGTTTATTAACCTTACACCTTATTAACACTTCTTAAAGGTGCCCATAGATAAATAAGTGCTTTATTTATGTTTTTGCATGGATAAAATATGTGTTAATCAAATATCGTTTTGAAATATGTATGGCACACAAAACTTAAGTTTAACCTTTATCTGATGTTCAGTATAATTTAATTTAAACAACGTATACCTATGTAAAAAATAAATTATATTTCAAGCATCAAATTTAGTCTGCATATATCAGAATATTAAAATGGTATACAGGGTGCTACAAATTCGAGGTACGAGCATTGGTATCTCGGAAACCGTAATAGATACGAAGATGGTTAAATTGGGGCAAAGTTGCTCCTTGGGATGTTCACCAAGATGCCATCAAAAAAGCTTTAAAAATTTCAAGGATTGCTGAGTTTTTTAGAAAATCAAAAAACTAATTGCTCTTTCTCATAGCTACTTTATTAGGGTTATCTGATAAGTCCGACTCTGGTTTTTTAAAATATTTAATCTGATTATATTCATCGCAACAATATTGATCAGCGGTAATTAAAATTGAATAAGAAAAATCGAGCCATTTGAAAGATTCAACTAAATAATATGTCCAGGTCATTAATTTAATGATATTCTTTTTAATTCTTTTTATTGTAAATTTGAAATCTCAATGTCTAATCTAATCTAATAATATTAATCGTAGTAATTATAAGAAAATCAACTTTTACAAACTAGTTTCTAATACTCTACATGTTCGAAGGGTTAACACCCTCCCTAATGCATAAAGTTGTTTTCATTCAATCTTATTTGTAGCTCTTTAAACACATCTTCTTATACTTCCGAATGCATTTTGTACTCTCTATTGTAAATGTTGAAATGCATTGATTTCACTTTTACAAATGAAGTCGAATAATGATTATATTAAATAAATTGTGTTCAAATGTCTAAAACAAAAAATATATTAAGCGTAGCACATCATTACACTCAGGAGACGGAGTCCTTTCAAAACATGAAATAAAAAATGCAGGTCCGTATTTAAAAAAATTAAGTTGGCCTCTGTCCTTCACAAATTATCAGCTAATTTGAAAATCTAGAAATACTATCAGATCGTCCTGATGAAGTGGTTATAAGAATCAGTAATCCTTGACATTTTTAACGCTTTTTTGATATCATGTTGACAAACATCTCAAGGCGCAACTTTGCCCCAATTTAACCATCTTCGTATCTATTACGGTTTCCGAAATACCAATGCTCGTACCTCAAATTTGTAGCACCCTGTATATAAAAAAATCTACATAATCCATTAAAAGCAAAACTGTTGCACAAAACATTTATATGAATTTATCTATAACTAAATACCTTAAACATGTAGATACTATATTAGTACCAATACGATACTTCTGACAACTATTACATAATATGGCATATTACATTTGGCATTCAAAGACTAGGGGACATAGTTGTTCTCACGTAAGTTTTCCCAGCATGACAGAACAGGATCCGACAGAAAAAATAATTCTTTTTTTTAATTAAAAGAAAATTAAATTTTAATTTATAAACAATTTACATGTATTAAAATTAGTCTGTTGAAGTTGCTAAAATGTGTTTCTTAAGTAGTAGGATAGTAGAAAAGTTATATACGGTTTAAAATACATAAACTATAACTCAATGTCTACCTTAGAACAACGCATTATCATACACCATGTCAAATGTCGAAAGCAGGAAAAATTACGTGAGAAAAACTATATTAAAACATTAAATAGACATTGCGCAATATAAGTAAATTTTACAGGTTCATTATTTTTACAAGGTATTTAAAAAATATGTTTACTCTCATATCCATCAGAGACACAAACCTTTTAACTCCTTGTATAACTCTTATAATTACACAAAAAAATAAGATCCCTAAGCGCACTTACTATTTTTCCTACAGCTAAACTAATTAAATTAAAGATAGACTTGTTCATTTCAATATAATAAGCAATTTATAATGAATATTGCTTTAAATGGCTTACAAATAATATATTTGTATAATGCTAATTTACAAGGAAAAAATAATATACTAAATACTAAAGAATATTCTTGAACAAAAATCAAGAAAATTTGTAATTGTACCTATAAACAGGTAAGAGGTAAGATATAGTATGTAAGTTCATTTGTATTCACTGGTTTTGTTCCTAATGTAATTTAGAAAAATAAAAATACATGTAAAGGGAAATTAAAATATGATTAAAACAACTTTTGTTGCACGTCAATGACATCAATGACACCATGCGTCGTCTTATGGAGTTTGCTGGTGGTCGTATTATGATGTGCAACCAAAGTTATTTTAATTTCCTCATACCTAAGTATATGATAAAAAAAATCAATATACAGGGTGGTCCGAACTGTATTTCGGAAACTTCGGCAATATATTCTGCAGATAAAAATAAGTAAAAAAGTTCGTATAAATGTATGTCCTAAAATGCTTAGTTTTGGAGATACAGGGTGTAGAAATTTCATTTTTAATTTGATATTTTTCAAATAAATTCTGAAGTAACGTCGATGCTTGAATGAAAATTGGTGTCTGTGAGTTTTTTGACATGAGAAATTTGATTTTGATGTAATTATGATTCTTATTTGTAGGGGGCGCCACTTACATGTGTTTTAACTATTCTGAAGGGTAATAACTTCGTCCGTGCCTGTATAAAACTACTGAGTGAAAAAACATACATTTCCGTGATTTCTTTCGTAAAAAAATGTCTCTTGGTAAAAATCGCTACTAGCAACCGTTCTATGGAAATTTTGAATGGAAATAGTCAATACATGTTATTATTGTATTGAACTTGAACTTTTGGCACAAAAATATTTCAAATTAATGATACCGGTCTAATAACTATTTAGTCAACATGTTTATGTCAATGATGACAGGTATTGATAATTTCAATTGTAAATATCTGGAGAAGCATTACTCGTAGCGATTTCTACTAAGAGACTTTTTTACGTAAAAAACGTGATAAATTTATATTTTTTTACTCGGTAGTTTTATACAGGTACGGATGAAAAGTTATTACACTTTAAACCAGTTAACAAATATGTAGGTGGCGCCCTCTACAAGTAGGAGTCAGATTGACATAAAAATCAAATTTCTCGTGTCAAAAAACTCCCAGACACCAATTTTCATCCAAATATTGATGTTACTTCAGGAATTATTTGGAAAAAATCGAAATAAAAATGAAACTTCTACACCCTGTATCTCCGAAACTAAGCATTTTAGGACATGCATTTATACGAACTTTTTTACTTATTTTTATCTGCAGAATATTCTGCCGAAGTTTCCGGAATACAGTTCGGAGCACCCTGTATAATAAAAGCTAAAATTATAATATATAAAAGTGTGTTCCAATTACTAATCATCTCTAAATCAGTCTTGAACATGAATCATATCTACTAAAAAAAGTACCCACAAAAATCTAAATAATCATGCTGATGACACATTAGAAATCGTATGCCACGAAAAAACGTGGCATAATTTTATGACAAACTAAAAAAATATAGTTTTATAAGTAATTATTATATCAGAAGCACTAATCTTGTTTGTCTTATAGGGTAACTTTTTAATGATCACTTTACCTAAAGGCTAGTAAATTTAATTAATTTCATTTTTAATTCTTAATTAATTTTTACTATTTTCAGAGATCTGTGTAATATTCTATTTATTTCAGATCAAATTTTAAGTCAGATGGATTACAAATAATACAATAATGTTATGTTAAATTAAACAGATTTAAAAGCAAGCGATCACTTTATAAATGCAATAAAGTGAATTAATAACATTTTGCATATGCGTTTTTTTTTTCATTCCGAAATTTATAGTTCTTCTCAAGTAACTTTTATCAATATGGCGGGACATGACCTATCAAAGCAATCTATCATCTTTCCTAATCTTAATAACATTAACTAAAATTTAAACTTAATTTAATATCTCGCACTTTTAAATGTTGCTAAACAGTAGTGAAATAACAGAAAGTTTAAATAATTTTGAAAGAGATTAATAAAAAAGTGTTAATGTCATTTGAAAACCAAAATATTCTGAATACAGGACTTAATCAGCACCTAGCTGAGAACACAGCTTTGTCCTCTACATAAGTATTTTATGAGTCATAGCGTTACCACACACCATACCAAATGTCAAAAAGAAGAAACAAGTTACAAGAGAAAAACTATAGTTTGGACAACGTGAGATATTCTTTTTTAACTCTAGTCTTCATAACAATATAATTTATTTGAGTATAACTATCAAGACTATTGTATGGCAAGAATACAGCTAATGTGAGTCAGTTCTATTTGTTGTCTATAAGATATTCAGGTTTTTCTGTTGCCTTCCAAAAATTCTTTCTTGTCTTTTAATTCGGGAGGCATTTCTACATGAAAAGATATTCCATATGGCCTCAGATGGTAGATTAAATATTCCAAAACGTACATCTGATTTGGAGATACATAATGAAATGACACTGCGTTATCTGAACAACACTCCATACCCTGTAAAACCGGAAATAATTGATTTCAAACATGAAAATAGAATTAATAGAAAACGACAACGATATTTTTAATAGCCATGAATTTTATAAATCTATAGTCACACCCTGTGATGTTGAAATTGCACTGAATGCTAATGCAACAAATTTAAAATTTTCGTATGATTACAACCAGTATTTAGACAGATTAACTGAGATTGATGTTAACACAACATCAATCGTTATTGTCTCAAATGCTTTAAATGTCAGTTGTCAGTCAATTGCTAGACAACTGACGTTTAAAGCTTTGTTTATCTGCCGAATACATAAAGGAAATAAATTGAGATTGGTATGCTCGGCTTCCCGCTAAAAAGTATTATTTTTTTAGGGCGCATACGTTGTACGGGATCTGGCGCTGTTATTGCGGTTGCTAAGAACAACCGCAAACAAGAACAGAAAGAATTTTCTCTTGTCTAAGTCAGAATCTTCAAAAATTATAAAATCTTTGAAAAAATACCGAAAAATGTTTAAAGAGTCTATTTTCAAAGTAATTATTGCTATCTTGCAAGTTAATTTCATTTACCTTGCTCAAACCGCTGATAATTGTGAAAAAATGACATTAAAAACGTTATTGACATTAAATGGCATTAAAAGCTGTGTGAACTGTGAGCTGCAAAAACCATCGTGGCATAAGGTCGGTTTCCAATGGTCGCGTTCATCAGGGCGTAGCGCTACTGCAGCGATCACTAATTTTCTGCTGAACGCGCCGATTAGTTGTGAGCGATCATTTTTTCCATCAGATTTAAAATACGCTACGCTACCGATGCATGATGGATTAAACGTCACATAGGCCAAATGTCACAAAATGTTTTGGAAAACGAAAACAAATCATTTTGTTTATTGTTCTCGGTTGACTAATCCCCTCGATTTGTGCCAAAAATGGGTGAAAACAATTTAATATGCATTACTTATGATTTTGATAATCAAATTTATGAGGTGTCAGGGAATGGAATAAGGAAAGAGTGTTCCTTATCTAAGGGATGCTAAAAAGCGCGTTCAGCAGGACAACCAATCGTTGGCACATCGCTAACTGATCAACTTGTCCTGATGAACGCGACCAATGTTACATACGAGTAGGTATTTCGTACATGTCCTTATATAAAATAAAGTTTCTTATTAGGAACACACTGTGTTTTATTTATAAAATTAAAAGAAAATAATAATAAATTTGAATACATAATATATTTCGCGATATAATTCCGGAAAAAGCCGAACCGCTCCGAAATTATCAAAGGCTTTGGGTCGCGACAGTTGCAAGAATAGCGCCAAATAGTGTTTACATTGTCCTTATGGGCACTTTCCAATTTAAACTTGTTTCGCCTATCTATGGGTTATTCGCCTGAAATCAGCTTAACAGTCGATTTAGAGACTCGCCAAGTCAAGACTCGGTAAGCCATTGATATGGCCGAGGACCGCAGATCGGATTTCGCGTAAACAAAATAGATCCCGGCCAGATTAGCCTTAGCAGCAAAAAGGATGCGTTAACTTAACATTTCAAAAAAAAGGACATGTTAACTTTAATTTTTTCTTCTTGTCTTCTTACAGTGCCATACTCTATACAAAGCATAAGCTGCCTCTCGCATATGCTTGTGTGTCATCAGTGTTTCACAAGTAAATGAGAATTAGAGTTTATTGCCAAATCCGAACGGCACTATTTAAGAGGCTGTACTAGGCAAATATACTCAATGTGGTTTACAATTGCCTTCCTTGAGGTGGCGACTCGCTGCTCGCTCTATTTAGATAAATATTTTTATTTAAATAAATAAAGAAACCATACTGGCTGGGGATTGAACCCAGTACCTCTCGACATAGTATTGCTGAAGCCACTGCCGGCCAACCTAATTGTCAGATAGCTTGAAAATTGATGTCAGAAAAATGGTTACCAATACCAATAAACTTCAACTAATCATATTAGGTGGTATTTTCTTATTTACTTACCTCTTTGTTCTCGTAATAAATATACTGCCAATACCAGAAGCTCTTAGAGACATGCCCTGGTATGAGGTGATGTTCTGGCACAAAAGGGAAAAATCTCCCTCTTCCCATAGAATCGCGGGAATCACCAGCGACAACATGAACCGATTCCATGCAACGTCCCATTTCCACGTCCTCAGCTCCATTATCACTTTTCGAACAGCCTGATGCATTTTTTAACCCAATCTGAAAACGGTAATTTCGAAAATACCTCCCAAAAAAGTATAGAAAGCTTTTTTGTCTTTTATAGTAAATTACATACCTCCACAAACCTCCTCAAGGCTTCTTTACTGAGAACATAACCTGCTCCTCCGCTCATGTAGCCTTGCTTGACATATGGTTTAAATCGGCATCCAAAATATATGGATTCGTTCGAATTGTACGGCATTAACATATATCTTAAATTTTCTAATATCACATACCTAAAACGTTGTTAAGAACCAAATTAAGGTGTACAGAATAGGTTATGCTATTCCTAATTCTTATTATTCAACTGGCAAAATAATTAAAATTATTCTCATTAGAATTATTATTATTATTAGAAGCTGCTCGTTATTGACCTTACAAAGTTCATATCACACAAAATTAATTTTCTATTTTATATTATCATACCATTCTAGAAAAAGGCGTATCGGCGTAACGACCTTGACTAGATCTCCAGCAATTCTATTAGCTGAAATTTTTGACAGATAAATTTGACAGATGAAATTTTTAACAGATAAATTTTTCAGCCAATAGAATTGCTGGAAATCGATATAAGTTCGTTACGCCGATACGGCGTTCCGCTTTTTCTAGGATGATATAGATCACAAAACATCCCCCTATAGAACTTTTTCTTTAATGGCCATAAGCGGGAGTAAAAGCCCAACCGCCCGAACAAACACTAGAGGCGCCACCGGTCATCAAATAAAAATAAAAATTGCGAAAATTTAATCGTCTAATTTTGACACAAGGGGTCGCGCTTAACTTTAACAATTTTAATTCAATATTCATTGTTTTCAAACTATGTTATTAGACTTTGTTGTATTTTGTGAATGTATAAATGTTTTCTTAGTATAAAGTTGCATTATAGTAATTTAAATTATATTACATACATATTTAAGATTCAATTATTATGACATATATGTCAGTTGCCGTCTAAAATGTCATCTTGATAACAAAAAGTTAGTTCATAGTTAGATATTGTCAAGAGTAGTTCAAATCACGTTAAAATATTAAAATATAATTAGATATTTTATATTATTTCAATAACAAACACGTAATAGTACAGCTCTTCAGCTTAATGTTGATATACAGGTCCAAAACAAAAAGTGACGTTATATTTTTCAGTTTTCGTTGTCAGCCGCGGAAGTTTCAGTGATTTTAGTGCTGTCGGATATTTTTATTTGTGAAATAGAAATATTGCGTTTGGATTGCTAAAAGTGGAAGTTTTATTGCAATGTAAGTAAACGTTTGTCCATTTTATATTTTACTTTTTTCATACCTACGACAAATATACATATATTGAAATTTTATAATTCGTTTTATTTAAAAAATGTTAGAAAACAAGCTTGTAATTCTGTAATTGACATAATTGTTATGTAATATATTCCATTTAAATGTAATATATTACTTTCCAATTAAAAAATGTAAATTTAAAAAATATATTAAAAATATATACAGGCATTAATTGAAATTTTTTGAGTGCGAACAAACACGAGATGCGCTTTATTATTTACTTTCATTTCTTAACATGACAGACGAAGTTCTAAAGGGGGATGTTTTGTGATATAGATGCACCCTTACTCTCGTTCCCTCTTTCTTCTCACTGTGTTGACACAGCATCTAATGTCAGTTCTACATAATTCAAGAGATCGCGATCACCTCAAAAGATTATCTAATCTGCCGAGCGAAAGAATATGCCTGTAGCTATATTGCCTGTCATTCTTTATTAACGTGGGGTCTACCACAGAACACTGGCAGATTTTTCGTTTCGGTCCTATAGCATTGATACACGATATCAAATGTCAAAACAAATCGTTAAGGAATAATATGATGAACATAAATATGTCAATAAATACATCATTAAACTTACGTATCATCATCCGCCTTCAGGAACCAATCCGCTTTATCGAAATAATGCCTGTAGACATACTCAAAGGCACGTTTTGTTTTTCCCCATAAATATTTACGGCCTTCTTTTATTGGTAGGGCAACTGAAGGCAATGATTCATCTAAAAGACAAATAATAAACCTATAGCATTATACAGGGTGTTCCAATATTCCGTGGTACTACAACGTATTTTTGGAATCAAAATAAGTTCATTAGACACAATTTACCTCTATACAAAAATGCTTTGTTTGTCCGTTAGAGGGCGTCAAACTTTTAGAGGACAACAAAAATAAACACATTTTTTCAGATATTTTAAGAACCGTTATTCCGATTTTAATGAGATTTTGGATGTCAACGTTTTACTAAGTGCTTTAATATTTGACTTTCACAAAAACCAAGAAGAAGTACGGGAAGGGTGAAAACTAACCCCACCCCTACATAAATTTTAGTGTAAATATTTTTCAACTCAACCGACGACCGATTTTTTTTTTCGTAAAATGGTCCTTCTAGTATTTACTATATTTTTTGTCTCATGTTAAAAAACCCCACCGCGCACACTTTTTGAGGAAAAAAATTATGAAAGCATCAGAATTAATAAATGTAAAGATAGTATGAACAGAGACAACGGTCCAATTCCTTCAAGTTCTTTGTTCCTACTACTCTAGTGGCGGAAATTTAACTCTTACGCTCGGTGGGCTCTGACTCGGTTAGCTAGATTTTGCCACGCCCACTCGGTGCCCACTGAGCGAGTATATAAACGCTCAACTTGTACATTGTATTTAAGTTTATAATCATCTGCTGATGATGCTAACATGGTTAGCTAAACGCGCGTCCAGTGTAAAAGTAAAAGTGTTGTGGTGTATCGTGGTGATTTAGTGTTTTTATTTTGCTGTGTAACACCAAAGGTTCCAACCCTCAACTGTAATGAATTTTATAAGGGCTAACCAACGCTATCCACCCCACCAAATAACCAACGCAACTAACCTCGACACTGATAAAAAAATATAAATTAGTAAAAACCAACCAACCCCACCAAATAACCAACTAACCAATGAATTAACACCCACCAAATAACCACACTAACCAACCCGCCAAATAACTAAACCAATCCAAAATCCCCAAGTACTAGTTAAACGCCAGAAAGAAATCTAACAACTAACTAACTGTTTGTTTCACTTATTTTTAATGGCCAAGCCGTAAGGGGAATCCCCCGGGTTCCGAGCGTCGACCTCCGGAACGCAGCGGTTTGATCTTGATTGAGATCGATTCGGTTACCCAGTAGTAATGTGTCGATCCCGCAACTTTAATCCCGCGGAATCTTAGAGGGATCCCGCATTTGCGGGATTGCATTCCCTAATTATCACAGATTATAAACTTATCGTCAAAAGCATTGTTTTTCGTGGTTCCAATTTTCGGAGTCGCGCACTAGTTAGGTTACTAGTTTGTGCACATAGCACGCCCACTTATGGCCTCTAAAATTATGCACAGCGCCCGACCGGCCCAGTTTTTACGCTCTTTCAACGGGAGTTTATTTTTGCGCACAGGAAATTTTACTCGTTTGCTCACCGTCATAAAAAAATTTTCGTACCACGAATTAGGGACAAGATTTTTATCTGTATACATATAAGTATAGTACATGTAATCTGTGATATTATACACTTAATAATCTAGTTGGCGAAAACATGGAATTTTATGACAGTATCACAAATTATATTTGACAATAAGCTTCATAAAAGGGTTAAAAAAAATAATAAATTTTAAATTAATTAACGTTCAGCTTTATTTTTAATTGATGCCCTCTAACGGACAAATGAAGCACTTTTATATAAAGGTAAGTTACCTGCAATTAACTTATTTTGATTGAAAAAATACGTAGTTGTTCTATGTCTATGGAATATTCGAGCTCCCTGTATATTTTGTAAGTCTTCTTAGGAAAAAATAAATTTTACAAAAAAAAATCTCAAAAACTATGCGATGTGGCGTTTTTTTAAAGGAGATAAAAAATGTAGTAAATACTAGAAGAAACATTTTACGAAAAGAAAATCTGTCGTTGATGGTTGGAACATATTTATACTAAAATTTATGTAGGGGTGGGGGTAGATTTCACGCTTCTCGAACTTTTTCTTGATTTTTGCGAAAGGCAAATGGTAAAGAACTTAGCAAAACATAGACACGCAAAATCGCATTCCAACTGGAATAACGGTTCTTAAAATATCTGAAAAAAATGTGTTTATTTTTTTAAGTTTAATGCTCTCTAGCGGACAAACGAAACACTTTTGTATAGAGATAAATTGTGTCCCATGGACTTATTTGGATTCCAAAAATACGTAGTAGTTCTATGTCCATGGAACATGGGACACACCTCTTCTTGAGTATTTAGTAAGAATACTATCAAAAACATTGTAGATTCTTTCTATATCTGTGGTAAATACCAAGATCACACATTCTAGAACCTTAAATTTAATACAGAATTCTCTAATTAATTTTTTATATTTTATAAAAAAATTTTATAAAAAAATACTCTAGTAAAAAAACTGTATTTGACTGTAATTTGAAATAGAATCAACAATACATAAATAAGTGCGAATTATAGTAATTATTAATATTATTGTACTGCTCTATTATTGTAAATAACATAAAATGTGAGATTCAAAATATATGACATAAATAAGATAGGAATGTAATATAACAAATTATGAAAATTGTTTAGTGGCATTGAATATTACATTTATTCTAATATCTGTAATATGTATGTAAAATCACCGCCAACAACAGTTCAGATTCCTATAAAAAATATTTTAATAGTAATGTGCATAAAATGCTTAGTTTCTTAATCCATAAACAGATGATACAAAGAACTTCATGTGCAGGATTTAATACAACCCACCCAGTGGCGTAACTATCGATGTGCCGTGTGTGCGAAGCACACAGGCCCGGACCCTCGGGGGGCCCGGGCCGCATTTCCATATCTATCACATGCTATCGCGAATCAAGCAGAATCGGGCGATCCCGAACTAAGTTCTTATCTATCACATGTCTTCTTAACTACTTAACTAGCACACGCTTTCCGAAAATAACTTATTACTTTACACTTGTTCTTGTGCAATTTTGTAGCTGTGTTTTCCTTTTTATTTTGCAAAATAAAAATAACTGGAAATATGTGATTTTTCAATGCGAAAAACGGTTATCAGCTTTGACAATTATTTCAATAGAAAATGAAGTTGTTCATACAATAGACATTGGTAATATTGTGTCTACTTTCGTCCATGCTAAAGCAAGGAAAAAAGAATTTTAACATGTTCATGTTCATGTTCCTATTTAGATTGTTTATTTTAATTTAGTTATTTTTGTTGTTGTTTTTTGTTCTGTTTTTATTTATTTTTTTATTTATTTCATATTTTATATGTTTTGGATTACATATTCTGTGTTGCAGTAATAAATAATACTATATAAAAATTAATTTGATAATGTTATTTCTAACCTAAAATATGAGTGCATATTATTCAGATTAGTATATAAGTATTGAAATATGTAGGTGTAATAGGGGGCCCGGTAAAATTTTTGCACACAGGCCCGTGAGTCTGTTGTTACGCCACTGAACCCACCTTATCCATTTTTTAAAAATAAATAGCCTAATGACATATATTAATAGTGGATCTTCAAACCTACATGAACATAATCCCAAACTGTAGCAAAAGTCTCCTATTCCTATATAAAATTCACTAAAAATTACGTTACTGTAGCAAAATCCGTCTTATCCACTTATATTTGGTTTTTATTGATATTATTGTTGCAAATTCTGCATTTTTTCATAGGCTTTTTACACAAATATAAAATATTACTACTGACGTATTATACCTTTCAAACCCTTACCTAATTTTAATAAAATAGCATGTCTAAAAAATCAAGTTAGGATGCAAATATTTTGCTGTAGCAAAACCCCTAATATGAATCATACTGAAACAAAACCTGCCTTATCCGAATTATTTTTGTGTTTTTTTTTTCTCTTTAAAAATTAATTATTTTTTTTTATCTCTAGACAAACAAGATACAAAACAATGATTCCACTCAATGGACACATTTTTTGTAAAATAACGCTTCAAACATTTGCTAAAACAGTTTTTGTATATTATCTGCAAACAACGTTTTTGGGATAAGATCACAGAATATACTAACGAAAGATGAGTTTTGCAACTTGACGCCTCAGTTGTTGACTGATAGGAGAACGCTGTCAATTTCTGAGAGTCTGAAGTAGAATCCATTGACATACATTTAGTGAAGACTTTACAAAAGAAACAAATGAAATGAAAAATAGGTACTGTGAACTTCTGAATGAATAAGGAAATCAGAATACTAGAGACTAGAAACTTAGCGAGAAATATTTTCTGTTATAAAAACTAGTAATATGCAATTAAAATAATTTGCCTTATGCATTATTGATTTTTTTGCCGACTCGTACTCGTACCGTCGCGTCGCGTCGTCATCGACGAGCGGGCCGAGGTTGCCATATTTCAACCATAAAACTCTTGCCGCGAGTAATAAATAAATTAACAACCTGTATATGAAACCATATTCACCACATTCTTTACTATTTATGCAAATTATAAAAATTTCTCACTTAAATCATAAAACTTTATAATTATATCAAGTGTATATCCATGTAAAAGTAATTAGTTATAATTAGAACAATTTTATTATTCAAATTACATCTTAATTTGTTCTTTATTCTAGCAGAACAGTTTTATAGCAAAAAAACTTTCAAATACTAGCAATTTTATATGAACCTTATCAAAACAAACCCACTGCTTCCAGTGTGTAGAGTTTCTGATAATATACTATCAATAGATTGTTTGTTTTGTTTTAGCATTACTACTGTATTAATCATTATATTGGCAAGCTCTATTATCAATAAAATTGTAATTCTTATTAAATGTAAATAGTATTTAAAAAATATACCTACCTTCTTTGGAACTCATAAAGAGCAAGATATTACATCTTTTTCCCCATGTATTCTTAACATGTTTAGCCCTTTTCTCATGATTATTAGGTCCAGTCATAATCCAACATAACACTTTTACATCCTTAAAAAGTTTGTCGGCAACTGTACTATCTTCCAAGAGATGGAATTCTTCATTCTTTGAGTGTATACCTTAAAAATATAATAAATAAATCATATCAAGTAATCATAATTATCACAAGGTATTTAAAATATAAGAAAATAGAATTTTACCAGGATCAACGGTCGGTCCCTCCATCAAATCCATTTCATAGCTAGAATGAGGATCAGCAAAAGGTGTTTGTTGCGATAAAGCCACATAAGCTACAGTAAACCCTATAGCCAAGCCAGACAGCAATGTTAAAACGCACTGTTTGTTTAAAGCTTGCCTATTAAATAAGATTAATTGATTATTTCATTTAATTTATAATAAAATAGCAATTCCCATTTTTTATTATTTAACATACCATTTGTACATCCTTACGTATCTCATATCACATAAACAAAGTGTTATTTTAAATAAAATCCTCTTGCATTTTAACAAACAGCTATCTTGAAACACTCCAAGTTAATGAGTTTTTAAATCATAATAATTGAACTCTATTCATAAATATTTACTTCTTAAATATATGAATTTTAATCCTAATTTTTTTTAAACATATCCTGTTTAAATAAATTGGTTTATGTCAAATTGACAAAAAACAAGCAATAAAATACTGCGAATCATAACCTAAAAATCTGACATTGGTTGGTAACACTTCATTTTCACAGTTGCTGTCATTGAATATTTTATTCTTTATGGTTGCATGAACTGAAGACATTTTTATAATAAAAATGGCCATTAAACAATTATTTTTATAGCTTATTTAATCATAAATTTAATAGAGACATCAAGGAATTAACATTGTTTTTTTCTTACTAACTAACTGATATATTTAATTGAGAATTATTTGGACGTTATTTAGTTTACTGCTGTTAAAAATTTCCATCTTCCCCTTACAAAAAGCATACAAAATTCATCTATTTCGTAACTTTATATATTTTAAAATTACAGTTTCCAAAAGGGAGATAAAATCTTTATAAAATAGCGTTTCCTTTTTCCTTTAAATATCAATTAAGTAAATGTATAGATATCACTAGAACTAGGACTAAAACAGCACAAAATCAGTTTTTATAGTTTTATAATTATTAACAAAACAGTACAACTTATAACTATTTTTACAATTTTGAACGTTATCTGTTGGAAATCTGCAAAAACAGTTAATAATAAATGTTATGCTATATAAACAGACTCAAAATAATCTAAAATCTTACACAATAAGAGGATTTAATCGTATATGTCTTCTTTATCTGCAACATATCTGAAAAATAAAATACATGTACCTCTCAGAATATTGTACAGCTATTAAGCTAATTGCTAATATTAAACTTCATTAAAATATTTCTATATCTGCAATAGTTTATTACAGCTGGGACTAAGTTATGTTTAAATACCTCACAATATCTGCAGGCCTGAGAAGCTTTTCTGCATCTGCATCTGGGATTTCAAAGCCAAACTCATCCTCTATTGCCATTATGACCTCAACGTGATCTAATGAGTCTAAACCCAAATCATTGATAAAATGTGATTCTAGAGAAAGCTAAAACAATTCAATACATTTACTATGTAAAAAACACTAATATCTAAACAGAGACTAATGCCTAGTAACATTGGCAAATACTTTTATTAATTACAAATTAAAAATAAACACACAAATTAAGTTCGTTTACCAGTGTTACCATCACAAGCAAAATTACTGTACCTTATCGGGGTTAACTTTATCATACAATTTTAGAACTAAAAGTACCCTCTCGGCAATAATTTTTAAAGACAACGGTGGTTTGGAACTGTAACTTCGCTCATGAGGCAATACAAGTCTCTGAAAGAGAAAAAACGCAATTACATCTTTAATACCTTATCAGCTGTTACTTTATCATAGGAAGCCACAACTTTAAGAACTCTGTCTTTAATTTCTGACTCTGTTGGTTTGGGCTTAATTACATCAGGTGAATAAAACCTCCTCTAAACAAAAAAATATTTTTAGATGAATTTCATTAGTGAGGTTAGACGAAGTTATGTAATTTTTAGAGATAAATGCAGGAAGAGGTATTTAATCATACTGGAATAATCCTCACAATGCCTGTTCAAGGTATAATCAATTTATAGCACCCTAATTTTCAAGTTTTATTTACAAATTGGAATTTTTGGTACCTGTGTAGCTGTCACTAGACGATCATTACTGAAAATTCCTTGTTCTGTTTTCGTACATTTCCTTAGTAATATACTGGCTGGTCTAGTAGAATAATACCTTAAATATGAAGTACTTCTACACAAAAGTCGAACGTTTTTTACTAATCCAGCCATTTTTCAATTATAAAAATTAGAAAACCGAAAGGCTTCCACACGAGCTTTCAATGAAAAAACTGCCATCTACACCAGCGCCACCTGTCGTGTTAATTTATAAATCGCCTGTCAGAAAAATTTAATGAAAATATCCAAGAATACCAAGAATTAAGAATTTCCATAAACACTCTTAGAAAGTTTTTGTTTTATATTTAATAATGTTAATTGCACATATATGGACAAATTCTTTCTATATTAAGTTATTCTTTATACAAATTTCTATATTTCAAATTTTAAAACTGTCAATTGTCAACCCTGCTAAAATAACTAAAAAACAGATTTGCCTAAATTCTAAATAATAAAAAACACTAGAAAAATTCCTAAACTTCAAAAGGTTGTTTCTTCGTATCGATGTGTTCTTAAAACTAATTTTGAATGTTTGGGATTAAATTAAATTAGAAATATATTTTATAAACCTATTCTTATGTTATTATGACAGAGGAAAATAATCCCAGACAGGCATTACGAGGCTTCAGAATACAGAAAAAGCCACAACTTTCGCATCGGTCGAACGGAACCTTCCTAGATCCTCGTAAGTGTAAAAATAACAAATATTCCTATTTATTTTATTAAACGGTAACTAAGCTTCAGCATCAACGATGAATTCAAGTGCAGGAGAACCTGTGAGAAAACGTATCATCAATCCATTCAGTGACTCTGACTCGGAAATCGAGGGTCAAAAAACTATTGAGTATACAGCTGTACAGCAAAATAGTGTTCCAGAGGTTCCACAAAGCCCAGCTCCAAGATTCAATGGGTTCCAAAGGCAGAAAAATCCAGGTATCCTAGAGAAAGAAAAACAAATGAAGTTTCTTCTGGAGATATTTCCAAATCTAGAAGCAATGGTGAGCGAACCAATTGCATAAGGAATTATTAATAAATAACTAACTTTTTTAATTTTAGAAAATACACGATATTTTATCCAAACACAGTTTTAACACTGATGCTGCTGCAGCAGAATTATCGAGAACATATTCAAGGACAATTATGCAAGGTTCTTACGATGCTTGGAAGCAAGACTATGAAAAGAATATCTCCACAAATGAACAGAAAACAAATCATTATGGAAACAAGAGACGTGCAAATGGTGAACCTAGCGTAAATCGTAAAAAGAAAGGTAAAGATAGTGTAAATATATGATATTTATTTATTAAAAGAGTAATTTTTAATTTTAGTTAAAAGACGAGAAGATTATGACAGTGATGATAGCACAAACAGTTTAAATAACTATAAAGATAACAGGGTTTTTGATAGGTTAGCAATTGTCACTATCGATTGTTTTTATTGTTGTTAATAATCAAAATTTTAGTGATGATGAAGATTCAGATGCAGAAATTAGTGATGTCCTAACGGGTGATAAAAAGAAAGTATTAGAATTTTTTGGAACCGGAACAGTAAATGAATTACAGCTAATGCAGTTTTGTTCAAAGAAAAAAGCAGAAATGATTATGGAATTGAGACCATTTACAGGGTGGATTGATTTAGTAAGTTATATTTTATTAAATCCTGATATTTCTTAAATTCCCTTATTCTCAATTCTTTTGAATACTAGTAAATACTACCCTGTAGCATAGAACTAATATAGAACTGTAATATCTTTATTTATATAGTCTGTCCAAAGACAAAATCCTTGACATACGTGATAGATTGATACATGTGTCTGTCATTTCAATTTCAAAGTAGTTTATTTTAATTTACAAAGAAATAAATTGATACAATTTAATCTTATTTTTTTTAACCAGTACCTTTTGACATTATCTTTCTGCAGTACTAAAATCTATTATTTACCCTATTGTGTGATGTTGTTTTTAGTACCATTACAAGATGGTATACAAACTTTACTGATGGTAACTTTATTGGTGTATAAAACTCTTTGTCTGGGCACCCATCACTATAAACTGTGCTCTGGGTCTACAGTTCATTTTCCTTAGATTTTTCCTCTACTTAACTTCAAAAGACACAAAACACACATAATAACACGAACTAAAATGCAAAAACAATTCGCATATGTTTATAATCTCTTAAAACGCAGGTTATTTGACATAATTTGACACATTTATAAGCTATTTTTAATCTATAATTTGGCAAAACTTTAACAAGCCTCAAAAATCTTAAGTTGAGTTCATACGTTTCAGCGTCCATGCATCGTTCATCGTTGCATCACTCCAATAATATTGAAATATAATCTGTCACTTTTGAAATAAACCAATAAAACTGGTTAAAAACAACAAGAGACGACGCATGACGGACTTATATATAAACCTATCCGTAGTTAACTTTAAAAATATTAGAAACTTTTTTTAATGAAATAAATAGATTGGTATTATATAGACAGTATAGACTTCATCTGCTTTTTTTCTGTCATCGTCTGTCGAAATATTACCTAAGAAAAAAAAAACAGAGTATAACTAATAACACGAACCAAAATGCAAAAACAATTCGCAAATAGGTATTTCACATAATTTGACACAAATTATAACCTATAATTTGGCAAGAGTTTGACAAGCCTCAAAAACCTTAAGTAGAATTCATAAGCATCTGCGTCGGTGCATCTCAATGTTTTTACACATTGGTGTTATATTTTTGAAAGGTGCGCTAATATACAGGGTGCTACAAATTCGAGGTACGAGCATTGGTATCTCGGTAACCGTAATAGATACGAAGATGGTTAAATTGGGGCAAAGTTGCTCCTTTCATGTTCACCAAGATGTCATCAAAAAAGTTTTAAAAATTTCAAGGATTGATGAGTTTTTTTGAAAAAAACGTATTTTTTTGAAAATCAATTTTATTTTTTCCTGTCGTTACTTTTTAGAAAATCAAATTAAGATTTTGAAAGAACTCGGTCTCCTGAGTACAATGATATGCCACACTTGATACTTTTTTTGTTTGTTTTGGGTACCTTAACAGTAACAAAACGGTATTTAACTGTTATTTAAAGTAATTGAAGTCCGACTCTGTTTTTTTTAATTTATTTAATCTGATTATATTCAGAACAACAATATTGATTAGCGCTAATTAACATTGAATAAGGAAAATCTGGCCAATTGAAAGATTGAAATAATTAATATCCTGGTCGGCAATTTAAAGATATCTATTATTTTTAACTTTTTTTATTGTGAATTTGAAATCTCAGTGTATGATCTAATAATATGCATAATATTAATCAAATGCTACCACTGTACAATTTGTTAGTAAAAATAAAACTAATTTTAGGTAACAAAACTACAAAGTAACAAAAGTTTAAGTACAGATCTTCTGAACTCTGCCCAACAAGTATTGATAACAAGGAACAATATTAGATTGTTAATGAAGAAATGCACAAATTTAGCTCAACAAATGGAAAGAGCTGTGGCTGCTGGAGCCGGAGTTAAAGAACAACCGAGAAATTTATCTTCTTCGTAAGTAATGACATATATTTGGTCATTTTTCAAATTAATGACATTTATACATATTATTTAAATTGAAAATAATTACTAAAGTAATTATTATTGTTTTTCATTTTTTGGATAGCATCTACAAAATGGTATATTCTCTCTATAGACAGACTATACTGCTATACACATCTATCAATATTTTTTGCTGGAAGTGTTTTAGTCTTAAGTTATACCGGGTGTCCCAGAAATAAGTACAAATATTTTAAGTGGTGGTAGATCTGGCCAAAAGAAACATATTTTCTCTTTACAATACAAAGCAATTATAGTCTGTCCAACGACAAGATCCTTGACAGTGATAGATGTGTTTGTCATTTTAATTTCAAAGTAGTTTATTTTATTTTACAAAGAAATAAGTTGGTACAAGTGGAACGCATGGAAATTAATATATTTAAAATTTGACTGACAAGTGATTACTTCAAAATATTGTGAAAAAAACTGGATAAAATTGAAAAAATGTAATTGAGGTATTTTATTTAAAAAACGGTATATTAATACAAAACAAACAAGAACAAAACACCACATACTAAAAAAATATAAAAAAAAACTATTTCTCTCAAAAATATATAAAACTCTATATTTATTTTTCCTATTTAATGCAATATTTAAAAAAATATATAAAAATATTATATTTATTAGTAGGCCATGATTGATAATAAGTACAGTACGTCTGTCCGTTCTGTAGCTCCGGGGTATCCGTGAGAGGGGAAACGATATTTTCTCGATGTTTTTCGTAAAAAATTAGACGACGCGTCCCATCAATAAAAATTCGACAAATTTGCAAGTAGCCAATAAAGTGAGTGGGCGGAGCGATTTGCGGTGACGCACTCGTCAAATCGACGTATAAAATATATTGCTGTTTATTTAAATGTTTTTTGCCCGCATTCCTTTCATAGACACAGATCCGGCAGATGTACTGTATATACTGCTATCTGTCTCTTGTTTTATTTTGAGAGCCACTAATTAATTCTTTATATATTAAGGAAACTTAAAAAAAAAAGGAAATCTTGGAAGCTATCGTATCGGAACTTTTAAATATTCCTTTAGCTAATTTACGTAAAATATACGAGCCCCAACAACTATATGTTGGGACAAGGTCTTTTTTTGCAATAAAAGTAGTAATTTGTTAAAACGACTCAATTTATATTTTGTTTATTATTATAAATTCAAACATTACAATATGATCTAGACAATTTTACTATATTTTTATAACTTTGCAAACAAATCACTTTTGATAATAGCTTATTTTGCCAAAATCAAGCCAAATTTGCTGACAACTATATATTGGGACAGCACAACAAGAAATTTGTTTAATACGGAGTTACATCACCTTTCGCCTTAACAACTGCCTGAACTCTTAATGGCATTGTATTTACCAAAGATTGGCACATTTGAGGAGAAAAATTATCCCAAATTTCCTGCAGTTTTGTCCGCATCAAAAATTGTTCGTTGTGGGTGGTTTCTTAAATATTGCTTCATTTTATGGCCACACAGTTTCTATAACATTGAGGTCCGTACTACTTGCAGGATAGGATAGAACTTTTATATTATTATTACCGAACCAATTTTTAGTTGATTTTGCGGAATGGCAAGTTGCTCCATCTTGTTGAAAAATATAGTCTTCGTTTGGAAACAATTCTTGAGCACTAGGCAAAAGTGAGGTCTCAAGTATATGTTGATATTTTTGGGCGTTAACAGTGCCATCTATAAAATTTAATTTAAACTTATTATTAACATACAACCCTAAACCATAATCCCCTTAGGAAATTTAACAACCCTCTTTAAGCAATCTTTATGAAAGGCTTCTGCTTTATTTCGTATTATTCTTTTTCGATGATCTCCAACGCAAACATCAAATTTAGACTCATCGCTAAATATGACCTAATTCCAATCATTTTGTGTCCACGATAATTTAGATTTTGCCCAATTGTAGCGATTTTTCTTTTGAATTTCTGTCAGTAGCGGTTTTCTGTGACCTAAATAGGAATTTGTATCAATAATCTTCAGGTGATTGATTATCCACACAAAATAAAGTTTACCTTGTAAAACCCCAGACCGCATTTATGGATATATTTTCGGCAACATTCTCTTGATATATTTAATCCAGTTACAGTATTCCATTTAACTGTTACTTCCCGAAGAGTACTTCTTCTCGCAGACTTGCAAATTTTTACTAAATTTCGTAAATCTCTCTGAGATACAACTTTTGGCCTTCCCGAACTTTTACCTCTAACGCCTACACTGGCAGATTCGCCGTATTTTTTATTTATATTAAAGACCGTGGTTTTTAAATTTTTCTAATTGTTTTTCCCGTACTGTATTGACGAATGATAATTTCGCGTAGTTTTTGATTTGTAGCTTTTCCACGGACCATTGCTTTGGATTAAATTAACAAAATTGAAAAAATTAAAAAATAAAATTACTTACAGTAAGTCTCACTACGCAAAGTATCGAGTCACTTAAAGCTGAAGTAAACATTTGTGACGTTTATAGCAAAGCCGCCTATGATATTAATTATTTAAAAATACTTGTCCCAACATTTAGTTGTCAGGCAAATTTGTCCTTTTATGAACAAAATCCGCTACTTTAAATATGGATTGATTTACAAATTCATAAAAATATTGTCAAGTTGTTTAGGATATATGGCTATGTTAATATATAAAAAATTAAACATATATTTTTCAGTCATTTTGAAAAACCAGGGCAATGATTCCAAAATATGACATTGTCCCAACATATAGTTGTTAGGGCTCGTATACTTTCAGCAAGATGGGGCTCCCCCACACAACTTAACTTACAACGAAAATATCAGAATTTTGTTAAATTCATTTTTCAAATCAATGAGTTGGAACCAATGTACCCATATTATGGCTTCTCTTATTCCCGGATTTGTCCGTTCTGGATTTCTGATTTTGGGGATTTTTGAAATATGAAATATATCGTGGCAACTAAAGGTGCGTATTCATTTTCCGAACGAACGAACGAACGAACGAATGAAAGTGCGGTATATTTAGACGGGGACCGAACGCATGTGGCCGTTCGTTCGTTCGTTCGCTCGACCATCCGTTTCGAGTCGGTACATCAAAGGCGTTCGCGTCCGGTCTTCTCGTGCGGTTCTATCGTACGCGCGGTCCCCGTCCATACCACTAGCGAACATTCGTTCGTTCGTTCGGATAATGAATACGCACCTTAATACGATGTCGAACATCTGGAACATGCCTTATTAATGCAAGTTTTTAGATATTTGCAAACCCATCTCATTGTAATAAATTCCGTTATAAAAAAGAGAAAAATATATCCAGAGGTTCAGTGGTAACAATTCAAAAGTAAAATATATCAATTCCAAATAAAATTTTAATATGTGTAGTACACACCATTTTGATTTTGTTATTTATCACGGCCTACTAATAAGAAAATGATATATTTTAAATATTGCAGTAAATATTGAAAATAAATATAGACTGATTTATATATTTGAGAAGCCCATAGCAAGGCGGATCATATAATTTATAAATATACAGGGTGTTCCGTTTGAAAAAATATAACTCTAGTTCGTATTTTCAAAAATATTTTTCTCGTAGAAAAACAGACTACGCCACTATATTCTACCTAAAAAGTTCTACAAGAATCACTTTTCACCTTCTCGATATCATGCATAATAACGGAGATACGGGGGCTGTCCCAAATTGCAATATTTTCGAAAAGACCCTGTAGCTCAACGAAGAGGGCTATAAAAATTTTGTTGACAGCATCTTCCGTTTGGCAAAAAAGTGGCACAGGTTTGTGCAAACCTCACCCTTCTATCTTCACGAATAACGGAGATATCGTATGATTTCAACCAAAATGGGACACCCTGTACAAATACAAATTTGTGATATTCCACAGGAATAAATAAAACAACATAAATACTATTTTCTATCTATATATATAAGATTTTCTATCTTAAAGATTGATTAATTAGCTTTAATCTTAATTTTTTTAAACCAGTATCTTCTGACATTATTTTTCTGCAGTACTAAAAACCATAATTTACCTATCGTGTGATGTCGAAATTTTACAGCTACTCCAGTTTTTAGTATATGTTTAGTATGATCCTTGTACCATATACGAGATGCACTAATCTACGACGAGATGATATACACACTTTATTATGGTAACTTTATTGGTGTATAAGACTTTCTGCCTGGGCGGCGAGTATTAACTATAAACTGTGCTTCTGGGTCTACAGTTAATTTTCCCTCGATTTTTCCTCCACTTGACTTCAAAAGACACAAAACACACGTAATAACGAGAATCAAAATGCATCATCTTCCAAAACGCAGGGTATTTGACATAAGTTGACACAAATTTATAACCTATAATTTGGCAAGACTTTGACAAGCCTCAAAAATATAAAGGCAAGTTCATATGCATCGGCGTCCGTTGGTCGTTCATCGTTCTGTCAAACCAATAAAATTGAAATATCATCTGTCATTTTTGAAATAAACTAATAAAACTGGTTAAAAACAACAAGAGACGACTCATGACGGATTTATATTTAAACACATCTATAGTTAACTTATAAAATATTAGTAACTTTTTTTTTAGTAAAATAAATAGATTGGTATGGATGTCATCTGCATTTGTTCTGTCATAGTCTGTCGAAATCTTACCTGAGAAAAAAAAACAGAGTATAGTAATCTACAATGAATAAAATTAATTTAGATATTTTTTGTAGAAATTTAAAAATGTGAACTTATAACTTATATCCATACAGAATGTGAATAACGTAGGAGGTGGCAACATTGCATTCTCTCGAAGCACTATAAACAAATTTTCGTAAACTGAACAAGCGGCATTTAAAAGTTTTTTAATATTTTCCGGAAAATGCCTAAAGAAAGATAAAATTTTCAACATTTTTTTTTGGCAAAAAAACTCACGGGCGTGTTTCTGGGATCGAACTATACTACCAGTTAAAGTACTTGCATTATTTCTGGGACACCCTGTATGTTCTAATTTGTTTTTTATTCTTGTTAGTTTAAAACTTACAAGTTATCAGATGATTGGCTTAAATTGGTTAGCTGTGTTGCACTGCCAAGGTGTAAATGGAATATTGGCCGATGAGATGGGTCTTGGAAAGACAGTACAAATTATAGCCTTTTTAGCACATTTGAAAATAACTGGTCAAGCTCTGAATACCCATCTTGTTGTTGTACCTTCATCCACGTTAGGTAAGTAATTTTAAGTGTACTTTATGTACAAATGATAAACCATTTTGTTAGTTTTTTGTATAATAATATTATTCGTGTTATTTTTTTATTAATAAGTAATTTTTTAGATTGTTTATTGACTTAATAATTGTTTTTTAGATTTAATCTAATCCGGAAAAGTTGAATTATTGAATGTTATTGCACCCAACAACCGCGTAATCACACCCTTTTTTACGGGTTAACATTTTTTCGACAATTTTATTAACATTTGAAATTGTCATCGGGGAGTTAATCACCGCGACCTTATAGATCTATTGTGTGTTCCCCTTTCTTGAGTTATAACGAGTTATAACTCATGACGAGTTATAACTCATCATACAGTCTCAGGGCTTTAAGAAAAGCCAGTATCTGAGACGGCTCCACAGAGGCCAGCTCTCCATCCTCGACATCAGACGTACCAAGGTTCATGGCACGAATGGTCGTCGTCTCGGCGCACTCAGTGATAAGGTGTTCTGGTGTTTCCCCATTTTTCCCACAAAATCTGCATTCGCCGTTGTTTCTCAGTTTCAGCCTACTGAGGTGTTCGTTGAGGAGACAGTGTCCTGTTAGAAACCTCGTGACAATCCGAAGATTGTTTTTACTTAAATCAAGGAAAACCTTTGATTTTTCTCGGTCATAAGTTCTAAGGAACTTTTTCGAGTGTCTTAGACCGTTGGAGGACACCCATTCCAAGTTAGTGGAGTGTTCGCTCCTTTTCTAGCTAGATCATTTGCTTTTTTATTGCCTTCTATCCCTTGGTGAGCAGGCACCCAGAGTAGGAGGACTTTATTTTCTTTGCCTAATTTGTTGAGCTTCTCCAGGCATTCTTTGACCAACTTCGAATTGATGGTTACTGAGTTGATCGCGTTAAGTGCTGCTTGACTATCGGATAGGATGGCAATTTCCTCTTTTCGATAGTTCCTATCTAAGATAAATTGTACGCATCTTTCGATAGCGCAAATTTCTGCCTGAAGGATACTGGGGTAAGTGCCCATTGGTTCGGAGTATTCAGTTTTCGGCCCAAATACTCCTATCCCTGTCCCTGCTTTGGTTTTGGAAGCATCCGTATACCACATGATGGTATGGTCTTTTATATGCTGAGTAACCGTCTCTTTCTTCCAATCCTTTTTATTACTCAGTACTACAGTGAGGTGTTTCTCAAAGTTGTAAATTCTTGGTATGTCATCCACTGGGAGTTGGAGAAGTGGAATTTTCTTTTTGAGGGTGTTCCAAGCCCCTTACCTGAAAATTCTCCCAGTACTGTTTCCGTCAGTAACCATTCTAATCATTGTGGCATTGGCATAACTACCGACGACAATGTGCAGTGGTGTTAGGTCTAGAATGACCTCCATTGCTGCTGTTGGACATGTTCTCATGGCACCTGTGATGCAGATACATGCCAGTCTCTGTACTTCTGTTTCAGTAACTGCACTAGCAAAAAACTAAAATACTTAAATGTTAGGACAAGCCACGATTTTAATATTATTTTAATGCTATCGACATAAACGGTAACAACGGGACTGCGTGAAACACTTTAGTCGGGCACTTCTAATTTCTGCTGTATCGAGCGCTGCAGTCGGAATTTTTAAAATCAACTGAAATGCAATAAGCCTATACAAAAAATTATAATATTCAAATAACACCCTTTATATTTTTCCCATATTATTTGAATGGAGCTTCAAATTCTCTTTTAATTAATTTTTGAACTTGGTACTATATTTCAAATCGGTTAAAATGTGCAATAAAACGTCATTTATAGTTTTATTTTTTACCAGGAAAACCCTGTTACATTATTAAACAAAATTAAAGTTGTAGATAAAATGATGATGATGATATTTAATTTTAGATCGTAAATACTGTGTAATAATTTACTAATGAAATATAAGATTATTATTATTATAAGTTGTACTAACTATATAAAAAACTGTATATCATTGAATTGTTGTTTGTAATGTTTTCTAAGTATTATTTTATATGTTTTTGAAACAATTCTGCGGTTTTTAGTTTCCGTTAATCAACTATTTCTTTCTTTTAAAACTATTCATTAACTAAATTCTCATAAAGTAGATGGTTGATAATTGGTATAGTTGGTGTACAGGGTGTTTCAAAAAACATGTGCCATGTCTCGGGGAGATTCCTCACATAAAATTAAGTTTTTCGTATTATATGGTGGAGGTGGTATGTGGGATGGTTCATAGGTTCGATTCTGCTTTGTTTCATAGCTACAGGGGGTAAAAGTAATATTTTTTCAATTTATAATATTTTTTTTTCAAATTCTTTTAGCAATTCGAATTAAATATTGAGGGTATAAGTTACTATAAGTGCGCCATATTTTAAAGCTAAAAAAGTGTCGACATATTCACCAGAGACGTGCTACTACTGGAATATTTTTCTAAAAAAACTTCTACGCCACTGACTTTTTTTTCTCTTGTTCTCGAAATGGTGTAAGCTCTTTTAAACGAGCCCTAGTTTGTTTAATTTGTCTAACTCAAACCACAGTTATCCTTACTTTAATAAAAGCAAGTTTAACCTTCTCCCACTGATTTATTTTATGAGATAATTTTTCGGACTTGAAAGTAATTTCCAGCAATATCTCTTGGCCGACTTATTAGAATTATTTTCCCAAAGGTATACAATAAGTAGTTTCTGTGATACAGCCGGCGTCCATTTCTTAGTTGGCTACCCGGTACTTCTTCTTTTTACAGTGCTATAATCTGTACATGCTCTGTAGGATACCTCTCGCATGTACTTGTGATGTGTGTTATTAATGTTTCACAAGTACATGGGACCTACAGTTTATCGCCGAATCTGAACGGCACTATTTGAGAGGCTGTACTAGGCAAATATACTCAAGGTGGTTTGCCTTCCTTGAGGTCGCGGCTAGCTGGTCGCTTCATATAGATAAATAAATAAACCGACCTTACGGATTGAATGATTGAATGTACTAACAAGCAATAATGTATAATGTTTATGAGCAATAATTTTTATTTGCGTGCTCAATATTAATATTGTTTCACAGACAATTGGAAAAACGAATTTGCTCGATGGTGTCCAGAACTCAGAATTTTTATGTATTATGGAAGTACCGAGGAACGCAGGGCGTTTAGGTTTGATCTTGCAAAGGGCATGCTGAAAGAGTTTGACGTCATTTTAACTACGTAAGTAAAAATTGCATTTTTTTTTCTATCTGGATTTTTTGTTTACCATATTTTCTTTTTTTTTCTCTAAGAAAAATCTATGGTAATCGCAAAACAATTTCCGATGCACGTGATTAACTTTGAGTGACAAGTGATGGCGACAGCGCTGCCAGATTGTGATGGATTTATGAGATGAATCTTAATTTAAAATTGACGAACAACATTTATTATATAATTTTTAAAAAGTTTTACGTTTTGTTTTTAATTTAATAACTAATAGTTTAGTGATTAATTGATTTATTTGTTTTATAGCTTATTTTACTTATTACATATTGGCAATAACTAGTCCATTATGAAGATTATTATAAGCGTTATTATGGGTTATTTATCTATTGATGTACATCTTACAACGCCACAAATGGTAATAACAAGTAAGAGGGTGCTATTAATGCACACTAATAATCACAGAATTTAATAAAAACTAACTTTCAAGTGGTATAATGTGCTTATCAATCAAACTTACTTTTCTGTTTGCAGTCAAGGATAATAAAGGACCTTTATTGTCACGTTCTCGTTCAAAATAGTTTAAAAAAACAGGGAAGCTACAAGCTCTTTGCTTCGACTGTTTAAATGCTTCAGCATATTTTCAACACACAATTTCCAGAAATGCAATACGAAAACTTGAAAATTTAGTTCTTAAAAGAACTGTTTGTAGAAATTTGTTTTTTCGGGTTTTTAGGCCGTCGTCGGTTAGAATTGCTTCCTAACGTTTTGCTAGCACGAGTGGCTAGCATCCTCAGAGGTGTGTTTGCTCCGATTGCTCACACTAGACTGATGACTCATTTGACTGAGCAATCAGAGCAAACACACCTCTGAGAATGTTCGCCACTCGTGCTAGCGAAACGTTAGGAAGCAATTCTAACCGACGACGGCCTAAAAACCCGAAAAACCAAATTTCTTCAAACGATGGCCGCGAAAGCCTAAACTACTACAGAACTGTTTGTGCTTAAAAGTGCAATTTTTAAAAAAGACTATGAATAAAACAGGCAAAAAAACCAGAATTACTCACAAAGATTCAACAACACGATATTATACAAAATAATGACTGACACTAGGATAATTGTCAAATAATAAAGGACAACATTGCTGAACACGGCGCAATGTGACTAACATAGCGATAATAAAATTCGGTTTAAAGTTTGAACTAATTTTTGCAGCTTTAATCTAAATAAAATATCTGTTACAATCATTTGCTCTATATAGTAAAATGAAGAGCTGCTCGGTGTCTTAAATTATACAACAAATTTAAACATTTTTACCAAAATTTAATTTAGTCAGGTTATAGACTTTAGTGTCAACGTCGATATGCTTGATGACGTGCATCGGAAATTTTTTTGCGATTACAATATTCTGTAAATGTATCGTGTTATTATAACAAAAAGGTAAAAACTATTTCTATCAAAATTTTAATTCACAGGTATACAATGGTTGGTAATAGCCCAGAAGAACGAAAAATGTTTAGAGTGACACCTCTTCACTATGTAATCTTTGATGAAGCTCATATGCTTAAAAACATGAATACACAAAGATACGAGAATTTAATAAGAATAAATGTAAGCCTTTATAACTAATTTATTATTGTTATAATAAATATACCTTATATTTCACAGGCAAAGCATAGGATTCTTCTCACTGGAACACCTTTACAAAATAACTTACTGGAACTCATGTCACTGCTAATATTCGTCATGCCCAAAATATTTGCGGAAAAAACGGAGGACTTAAAGAATCTCTTCCAAAAAAATTCGGTAAGTTTTTACTCTTACTATTTTTTAAGTATAGTCTGTCCAACGACAAGATCCTTGAGAGTGATAGATGTGTCTCTCATTTTCATTTCAAAGTAGTTTATTTTATTTTACAAGGAAATAAGTTGGTACAACTGGAACACATAGCAGGAAATTAATATACAGAGTGATTTTTAACCTATACGCATAAACTTGGGAAATTATTGCTGATGGCAAATAATGACTAATAATGAAAAAAAATGTTAGTAAAATATTTATTTTATTATATTATACAACTTTATCAGTAAATGAACATTCAATTTGATGGAATTTACATTTTTGATTTTATTTCAAATAGTTTGTTATCTCCGTAAATAAAAATATTTAGTGCACATTCAGTTTATGGAATTTACGTTTTTTGTTTTTATTTCAAATATTTTGTTATCTCCGTAAATAAAAATATTTTACCAACTTTTTTTTCATTATTAGTCATTATTTGTCATCAGCAATAACTTCCCAAGTTTATGCGTATAGGTTAAAAATCACCCTGTATTTAAAATTTGACTGATAAGTGATTACTTCAAAATATTGTGAAAAAAACTGCATAAAACTGAAAAAACGGTACGTGTTAATACAAAACAAACAAGAACAAAACACCAAATACCAAAAAAATGTAAAAAAGAACAATTTCTTACTTTCAAGCTTCGAGAAACTTCCCGCATTTATTATTATATTAATTTATCAATATAACTTATGTACAAATACAAATTTGTAATATTCCACAGGAATAAATAAAACAAATAAAACAAACTATTTTATTAATAATAACACTTACCAAATTTTATACCTTAAAGGTTGATTAAATAACTTTAATCTTAATTTTTTTAAACCAGTACCTTTTGACATGCTTTTTCTGCAGTACTAAAATCCATTATTTACCTATCGTGTGATGTCGATATTTTACAGCTACTTCAGTTTTTAGTATGTTTAGTACAATCCTTGTACCATATACGAGATGCACTTATCTACGACGAGAGGGAATACAAACTTTATTGATGGTAACTTTATTGGTGTATTAGGGTACCTACATAGTGAGGCATCTCGATGCGATGCTCGCCGCGATGCATCATACGCGCACTTACTCGCCGCGTTAAAACAGTGCTTAAAACGTGCGCGTAGGATGCATCGCGGCGAGCATCGCATCGAGATGCCCCACTATGTTTGTACCCTTGACATTCTGCCTGGGCACCGAGTGAGTATTAACTATAAACTGTGCTCTGGGTGTAGAGTTAATTTTCCCTCGATTTTTCCTCCACTTGACTTCAAAAGACACAAAACACACAAAATAACACGAACCAAAATGCATCATCTTCCAAAACACAGATATTTGACATAAGTTGACACAAAATTATAACCTATAATTTGGCAAGACTTTAACAAACCTCAGAAATCTAAAGGCGAGTTCATACGCATCGGCGTTCGTTTGTCGTTTATCGTTCCGTCAAACCAATAAAATTGAAATATGATCTGTCATTTTTTAAATAAACCAATAAAACTGGTTAAAAACAACAAGATTTATATTTAAACCCATCGATAGTTAACTTAAAAAATATTAGAAACTTTTTAGTAAAATAAATAGATTGGTATGAAACGTCATCACGTCATCTGCTTTTCTTCTGTCATCGTCTGTCGAAATCTTACCTGAGAAAAAAAACAGAGTGTATGTGTGATATTTTTAGAAGTTTGCAAATATATATTTTATGGTTTATTTTCAGAAAACGAAAGAGGACGATTCAGTGCCCACCTTTGAGAAGGAACAAATCGAGCAGGCTAAGCGTATTATGAAGCCTTTCGTACTTAGGAGACTCAAGAGAGATGTTTTGCAGGATTTACCTAAGAAGACTGATCTTGTAGTAACTGTGTCTATGGCTCCAACGCAGAAAGAACATTATGAGCAGCTAGTAGCATCTTATAAAAATATTGGAAGTGTAAGTTTACAAGTTTTATGACAAATTTTAATTTCATATTTATAAGTTCAAAAAAGCTTATCTGGTTTCTAGTTTGGCATTTTTAATCCAAAATTTTTACCAAAATATTTATTTAAAATATTTTTGTCAATAATATAGGGTGATTCAATTTATAAAAAAAAATTGGATTGAAAATCTTGAACCAGAAACATGGCATAGATTTTTCGTAACTTTGGGTCACCCTGTATAATTTTCAACTTAATATTTGGTTCTACAGGAAGGTGGCGAACAGTATAATGGAATGAGCATTATGACAGACCTTAGAAAATTGAGTAATCACCCTTTACTAATGAGATACCATTACGATGTGGAACAACTGAATGAGATAGCGGTTTTGTTAGCTAAAGATCCGGGATATAAAGACACAGTTGTGGATTACATTGTAGAAGATTTAAAGTGGATGTCGGATTTTGAAATCCATACAATGTCACAACAATTCGCGGTATGTACCAATATTCATGAGATTTCAACACACATAAAAAATAATGTGTAAAATAAAATAATATTTTATTATTTTCAGTGTTTAAATGGTTTTACTTTACCTGATAATTTATTACTTACCTCAGGGAAATTTTTGTATTTGGATAAATGTTTGCCAGAACTAAAAAATGGCGGTCATAGAGTGTTAATATTTAGTCAATATGTGATTCTTCTAAACATTCTCGAAGTTTATTTACAATTAAGGAACTACAGATATCTTCGATTAGATGGTAGTACAGCAGTAAGCATTAGGTAATGCTGTTATTTTCGTTTTATTAAATGTAGCATTAGGGCTTATTTTCTTTTTATTAAATGTAGCATGTTTTAGAGCCCAAACGCACTGAAGACAAGGTTGCAGCGACCAGCCAACGGCCAGGCCATTAAATCAAATGATAAAAAAATAAATCAAGCGGTCGCAGCTTTGACGCTGCGACCAGCAATACCATTATATCGAATGCTGGTCGCTGCGACCTGGTCGTCAGTGCTTTTGAGCTCGTTAGTATGATACTGTTGGATCCAAGTGGTATTTTATATTCACAAACATGTTTTTTGTGTATATTACTGTGCCAGAAACACTGCGACCGACAAGGCCTATTTTTTGTTTTTTTTTCTGTCTCTTGACCCAATCCCCTATCCCTGTACCTGTGTACTGTCTTTGTGCACCTATGTGCGAGCATAGTTTCTCCGGTTCTAGCTTTGTTTTAACAAGTGTAACAACGCTTGCGATCCGTAGCTTGCAAATAACATTATGGGCTCTGCTGTTTCAGTATCTCTATCGTAGAGTCTGCAGCAAAGACTTCCTTGAAGAAGAGCTTGTTTAGGTAGCATTTAACACCTATATACTTGTAAATGCTTGTTGTAAAAACTGTTTATAAACTTGCTGTTTCCACTGAAGCAGAATTAGTTTATAACAGTTGTTTTCCAGCTAACATATGATTGAAAAAAATCGGCGTCAAAGACGGCTGAGAATGACAGTCGATGATAAATTTGGCGAGTTCAATCTCTAGACGTCATTTACTTAAAATTGACATAAAACTGTCAATAATTAACACAAATTATAGAAAGATTATAAACGGGTAGCACGTTTCCAGGCACACAAATCTATTTCCAATAAATATTTTTTCTCAAATTTTAAACTACAGCATTTAAAAATCATTTTTATCTCATTATAATAGTATTTTATTCAACGAGCATATAATGGTCGCTGTTATCCACGTGGATGAGGTTTATGTAAACATAAATCATCCAACTGAATAACAGCCATTATATACGAGTAGAATACTGTACTTTATCCAGGACTATCAACTGAGTTTTCTTGCTAATCCTCCATTGCATAAAAGATTCATATGCAGACACATAAAGTTTTTTGATTTTTCCGGTAATAAGTTTAAACTCACAATATTTGCGGCGTTTTGTATGTCGGGGGACGTATAAGACGTTTCATTATCACTATCTGATGTATCCATTTCTCTTTTTACTATAAAAATATCGCAACTTTAAAAAATGTTGACGTTTTGAATTAACTCGGAATTAAACCAACCACAACAGCGCGACAACGCAACGTGACGTGGCATTTCAATGCTTTCATAGCCACCTTTGTTTTTTATTTGGTGCGTATAACCGCAATCCAAGCCGGTTTGGAATGAGCACAGCTCTTGTTTGGAGTTTAGATCCAGATATCCGTGGAAGCGGTGAATAATTAGTGAAACCATTATTCACTTCATTCAAATTATAGACGAGTCGTGGATAAAATATATTAGAACCTTCAGCCAGCTGGCAGTAAGCGACGGCGCCGTTAAAAAATAAAGAAGGGTACAGAAGCAAGTAAATGATGTCTAGGGCTTGACCTTGCCAAAAGAATTAAGGTACATTCAAGCTGAGAGCGTCGACCGTCGCGTCGTGCTTGCGTCGCGCCCGCGTGTCGAAATGGAATCAATTCACTTAACTTAAATTAGACCGTTCAGACAGACAGCGTCGCGTTTGGCGTTGCGCTATCGTCTGCTGAGCGTCGGGGTTCGAGTTCAATGGGGCGGACGCGACGCAAACGCGACGCGACGCTCGACGCTCTCAGCCTGAATGTACCTTTATACATTGTCATTCCCCAGCCGTCTTTGACACCGTTTTTTTTTTTCGATCATATGGTACTTTAATTCAAACGCATTCAAATTCAACGCAGCGAAAAACCGCAAAATCCTGACAAACGTTTGTTTGTGTTTTCGTTTATGTGCATTTTATGTATAAAACAACGTACGCAAAATGTTTATGAACATTTGAAACATATATAAACATTTCGTGTAATCAATATCGTTTGGTGTGTGCGTGCCTTAATGAATGATGAATAAAATTTGTAATTTTAACGTATCCCAAAATAAATTGCAATAAAGTATTTTTTAGCAATTATTTTAAGCATATATGTATACATATATTTCACATATTTCATAAGAAATGGTCCAAGAAAACTTACGCAAATATATTTCACTATATCGCTAATCAGGAATAGAAATTGAAGCCAAATTTTTGAGATGCCGCTATACAAAATCCACATAAGTCGGTCCTTTTCGTTCAACAGCTTTGAACTACGCAAGCGTGAGAAGTGCTTCTCGATTAGTTGATTTATTTCATACTGACCAATAGAAGTTTCTGTCTACCACGGAAATCAATTTAGAGTCTGGCTATTCGCACCTTTACTTATAAATTTAGATTTAATCTATGACATATTTAAACAAAAACAAGAAACGTAATAATGCCATTACCAGTAAAAAAATAATATATTATACATTATTAATATTTAGAGTTTAAAATATTCAAATTGTCTTATTTGGTGCGTGCGCACGAAAATCCTGTTGAACGAAAAGGATAGACTTATGCAAGATTGATATTCCTATTTCATTTCTTTGACTTCAATTTCCATTAATTGTGTAAATGCGGTACTAGCAATATATTCTTATAATATATTTGGTTTTAGGCAAGATTTAATTAACGAATATACAGAGGATAAAGGCATATTTATTTTTCTATTGTCGACGAGAGCGGGCGGTCTGGGCATAAACCTCACCAGCGCCGACACTGTCATTATACACGATATAGATTTCAATCCGTACAATGACAAACAAGCAGAAGACAGATGTCACCGAATGGGTCAGACGCGTCCCGTTTCTGTATATAGGTAATAAGTAAGATAATTAATAATACGACCGTTGATCGAATGAAAACGACATCGAAGTAGGCGTAGATGTTTATTATTTTATGCAATTGGGCATAACCTACATAGGGTAAGATTGCACAATACAAAAATATTTTCCAAACAAAAAGCGAATATTAGAAGCTATTTCTAGTTTTTATATTGTCTTGTTAACATTTTACAAGATTCTAATACCCTATTATTAGTTGTCGCTATCAAGAATTTCAGCAAAGAAAGGCTCAAACAGAAATATTATTTCTATGCCCACCATCGTTTTTATTTGATCTCACTGTATTGTATTTGCCTAAGTAAATTAGATTTAAGTGATAATATATTTTCTAATTATTATTGAGGTATAGGCTTGTTCAATAAACAGTTTTTCTTATAGATTAATATCACAAGGTACAATAGAGGAGGGAATGTTGGCAATGAATAGAGAAAAATTAAAACTAGAAAAAGACATTACAACTGATGGTAAGTATACATTATTTAATGTATTTTTCATATTTGACTAACTCGCTCATTATAACGTCATCGAATATCCATAATCTAACTATATACAACTATTATTATGTTGGATTAGATTATTTTTTGACTTGGCCATCGGTCTGTTTCACTCTGACCTTTTCAGATCTATTGTGACACTCTTCTGACCCTTTCACCTGACATCCTTTTCATGTAGTTCTAATAACCTGGATACTGAACCCTCCACTGACATAAAATATGTTCTGGCTTTCTTCTCCTGATTGACAAACTCTGCATATTGCTTCGTCGGTCAATCCTATCAGCTTTTGACATCCATTATATCACAGATTATTCTTTTTTCGTGGTTCCAATTTTCGGAGTCGCGCACTAGTTAGGTTACTAGTTTGCGCACAAGCACGCCCACTTATGGCCTCTAAAATTGTGCACAGCGCCTGACCGGCCCAGTTATTACGCTGTTTAAACGCGAGTAGATTTGTTGGCCACCCATCGTTTTGTCGCTATTCTTGTGACTTGTGATTGTCTTTGCAGCGGCGCAGAAGGGTTCTGGACATATGAATGGCATTGATATGAGCCTTGTTTGGCTATTTCATCTTTTTACTTACTTCTTTGTTACTCTTGTGGCCCTCATGTCTTTGTACCCAGGCTACCATAATATTGCTGCGCTTACCCAATGTGTTAGAGCACACCTTAGGAACACACACAATTCCACACTCATGAGAGTATAGAGACCTGACCATCCTAAATTCATGGTCTGAATTTTATAATGTAAGACGATGATGGAGATGCCCTAATGGAAATTCAGACATACTAAAAAGAAACAAGTGAGCTGATTTAGCCCAGTCTTTACTCATTAAAATGCAGATAATTGATTTGAAATAACCAGACCAGTATACAGGATGGGCCGAACTGTATTCCGGAAACTTAGGGGGCATATTCTGCAGATAAAAATAAGTAAAAAAGTTCGTATTAGCACAGATTATAATCTTTGTTTTTTCTTTATTGTTTTTTTTGTGGTTCCAATTTTCGGAATCGGGCACTAGTTAGGTGACTAGTTTGCGCACATAGCACGCCCACTTATGGCCTCTAAAATTGTGCACAGCGCCTGACCGGCACAGTTATTAGAGAGATATCGGAAAACCGAATAGAGTCATCCAGTATTTACGCGTACCTTATCATGATTACGATATGCGCGAGACAATTTTTAACGCAACACCCGCTAATAACGTTACCGCCTGACGTAATTTGCGGATCAATTACACCAAGCGCTCTTTCTAAATAACCTCTGATAACGTTTAAAAATTGCTTAAATGGGCATGTGCGGGTATTTGACAACCGGAGCCGGCCGGCGAGATCTTTTATTTTAGGTTGTTTGAATTTTTTTGAATTATTGCTTTAGTTTTATTAGGTAATTTGATATTTAAGTGGCTGGGATTAGTTTTAATTAAATAAATATGGCCCAAAATATGGATTCCACCTCTTCCAATAGGTACTAAAGAACCTATAAAGAATCTTAGGTTTACAGCAGATGACGACTTAGCCCTTCTAAGAGAATTTGTTGCTTGTTGCCCTAAACCCACTGGCAGACGTTGAACAATAAAGCACTGGAAATAAGCACTTTAGCCCTTTAGTTTTAACATACCTAGTAAACAAAAGAAATTCAAAGTTAGGTTAAGTTTAAATAGCGGACGCGACGCGATCAGAATTCTTTCCGATCCGATAACTATAAATGAAGAGAGTTAATACCACCTCACGTAAAGGAAATAACATCTGGCCTTATTAACGTCCATGCACGCTATTCGGTTTAGCGATATCTCTCTATTACGCTGTTTATTGTTATTTTACGCGAGTTTATTTTTGCGCACAGGAAATTTGACTCGTTTGCACATCGTCATAAAAAACAATTTTCGTACCACGAATTAGGGACAAGATTTTTATCTGTCTACTTATAGGATACCTAATCTGTGGTATTAGTCTATGTCCCAAAATGCTTATGTTTGGAGATACAGGGTGTAGAAGTTTCATTTTTATTTCGGTTTTTTCCAAATTCTCAATATTTGGCTGAAAATTGGTTTCTGGGAGTTTTTTGACATGAGAAATTTGATTTTGATGCCAATATGATTCCTACTTGTAGAGGGCGTCACCTACATATTTTTTTCCGTCTAAATCAGTAGTCCGTACCTGTATAAAACTACTGAGTAAAAATATACATTTACGTTTTTTACATAAAAAAGGTCTCTTAGTAAAAATCGCTACGAGTAGCATAAACACGTTGACTAAATAGTTTAATATTTTTTAATAAATTTTTCTTCGAAAAAATTATGATAAAACAGTTTTTGTTGATCTTTTTTAAGATCTGTTGATCTTTTTTAAAGAAAAATTTATGATTAATTTAAAAAAATAATAAGTTCCCAAATTTATCATTTCAGTCAAATAACTATTTATTCAACATGTTTATTTTTTGTCAGTGACATGTATTGACTATTTCCGTACTAAATATCTTCAGAATGATTGCTCGTTGCGATTTTTACCAAGAGACTTAAGACTTTTTTAAGTAAAAAATCACTCAGTAGGGGGGGGTTATACTGGTACCTACTGACGAAAAGTTATTACTACATTATTTTATGGAATTCTATTGGTTTGTAAAATGACAACTTATAGGCATGACGGATGCATATAAACTCACATTTCGAATGTAACCTAACATAGTATATTGTTTTCAGAATCTGATAATCCAGATGTAAAAAGTGTAGTAAAGTTGCTCTCCTCGGCCCTAGGCGTAGATTCCACGAAAGTGACCGGTGTGGTATCATCAAGAAAAGAAAGTAAATAATATATGTATATACCTATTTGTTATTTCTAAGCATTTTTAATTGGATATTTAAATGATTTAAGTTATTGTTTTCTTCAGCACCTTCTTTTTTAATGTACTTTTACCAGACCTTATGTTGTACTGACCCATCAAATAAATATTTTTATTATAAAGTAGTGACTGTTTTATTTACCAAACATTAATATTTTGTCCCAATCATATTGCAAATGAACATATAAATACACACCCAATGAAGAGTTAACGAACAAAAAAAATGTATACAAAGAGTTGAAATAATTGAATTAAGTATTACAGACCATGTGCCTGAACAGTTCAACATAAAATGGTCGGAAGCCAGACTTGTCCACAATGAACCTCATTGGAAAGTCTAGATTTATAGAAGCCGTTTTTAGATCAAACAATAAAATATTTAGCAATCAATGTATGGAATTGCGTTGTCAACACACGTCGTTGCCCTCACACTTGACTGCATAAATTTCTATCGCGGACGACTGCGTTACTATATTAGGGGTTAGTTTTGGGTCGAGATTTCCATAGAATAGTACAATACAATAGTGCAATGTTTATAATGTTCTGAACAAAGACAAAACAGTAAAAACGTTGCCAAACGTATAAAATAAACCGAGAATCTGTGCACCTTGCTAAGGGAGGTGGAAGGAGATACAGCAGATTTGTCGCGGTCGACCCAATCAGTACTAAAAGTTCTAGAAAAGGGTGTATATCATGCGTTCAGCTTTATCATTTAATTACGTCTCGTGATACTTATGTTGTATATATATTAATGAGTCGTAATTTTTCCTATAGCTTGTAAATTTTTAAGTGCAAGTTAGAAACGCTTGCACTTTTAGTAAAAATAAGTGGAATTGAGTTGGTATTCGACAGTGGTCGCGCTATTAGAACTCTGAATTCAAAAATTGATATCTCGAAATCCATTAGAAACAATTGATTGAAGTTTTCTTTAAAAACTTTCTTAATATTTCGGCTATATTGTGAAAATCTTTACAAATAAAAAAGTTACAACATTGCTGAAAATTGCTATACACCAAAAGTAAATGGACGGAGTTTTTAAAAATTTTGAAAGGAAAAAAGAAGCTTATTGAAATTTTTCTCATTTACACATCTCGTAAAAGATCCGAACTTCAAAATAAAAAAAGTCCAATATCTAAAATATCTAAAAAAATTGTAACCAAAATTGTAAGATAAAATTAATGATAATATCTAAAATTAATGATAATATTTTTTTTGTAATCAATGACAGTGCCAAGTATGAAAGAAGATACTTTGATAGACACCCCGTACAAGTCTACGGACTTCTGGGGTTTTTCAATTTATTTCTTGAGTTAGAATTTAATTAACAGGATTTTTAATATAAATATTGTTTAGGATGAATATATTTATTTAATGTTGCGAATTAAAAAAAAAACTGTAACAAACAAATGAAAATATACACCGTTGCTTTTTTTATTATTAATTAACTACTTTGTTTATGCAGTCCTAGAATTGGAAAAAAATTGCAGTCACTGCAGAATTCAAACTATATTTATTAACCAAGTTACATCTGGCAGTTTATAAATATTTGTATTAATTAGGTTAGTACTATATTATTTAACATAATGAGTATAAAAATGTTGTATGACTTGAGAAATAAAGATTATATATTACTAGTTGAAGCCTGGCGCATCCGCCACGACATCAGAAAAAAAAATACTTTTTATTTATTTATTTTTTAATTAAATGAAAAACAAAAAATCCGGCTACCAGAGTTTTTAGAAGAGCAAATTAGCTATCTTGTAGTAAAAAAAAGCAACTTTCTAGAGGAAGTCGTTACTTCAGTAGAGACGACACAGATAATCATTAGCATTTTATATATTTCGTTTTCCTTCCATTAAATTTACACATGAAACTGAGAACAACGACAGATTACCATTTCTAGATGTATTAGTTATTAGAAATACTAATAATTGCCTGGAATTTGATATCTATAGGAAAAATACCACTACACGCAGATATATTCCTAATGAATCATATCATAGTATTGAACATAAAATGGCTAGTTTAAATTTCTTAGTTCATAGATTATTTAGCTTTACACTTTCCATCGAAAGATATGAAATAGAAAGAGATTACATTAGGAATGTAGCTGAGTGTAATGGATATTCTCCTTCACTAGTTGATAAATTAATTAGAAAAAGTAGGTATAGGTTAATGATTTAAATTCGACTTTTCAAGTGGAGAAAGATACGTCAAAATATTTTTTAATACCGTTTGATAGACAGTTATTCCGTGGTCTAAAAGGAATTTTTAAGAATGTCAATTATAAACTTGTTTATAGTGCTAATAATAAATTACAACAATTATTAGGTAATCCAAAGGATAAAACACCTCCACTGGAAAGGTCGGGTATTTATGAAATTTCTTGTAAAGATTGTAATCAGAAATATGTTGGGCAAACTAGAAGATCAATATTAACTAGATTTAAAGAACATTTAGCTCAGATAAGATATGGTAGACCTGATAAATCTTGCGTTGCCGAACATGTTGATAAAGAACATTGTATAGATCTTAATAACTTAAAATTACTTAAACAAGTCTCAAATTACAGGCAATTAGATGCATATGAAAGCATCAGAATTAATAAATGTAAAGATAGTATCAACAGAGATATCGGTCCAATTCCTTCAAGTTCTTTGTTCCTACTACTCTAGTGGCGGAAATCTAACTGTTACGCTCGGTGGGTTCTGACTCGGTTGGCTAGATCTTGCCACGCCCACTCTGTACCCACTGAGCGAGTATATAAACGCTCCAATTGTAGATTGTATTTTAGTTTATAATCATCTGCGCGTGCAGTGTAAAAGTAAAAGTGTTTTGGTGTATTGTGGTGATTTAGTGTTTTATTTTGTTATTTTTGCTTTATTTTATATATATGTAGATTATTAAAGTGGTTCTTGAGTTATCGCATGTTATATGTTAAAAAGTTCAGCCTTTAAATTATTGAGATTACTGACTTGTTCTCGTTATAAAAAATATGGACACCCTAACGATATCCTTAATTCCATTTCAGATGCTCCGAAACATACCTATCTAATGATTTTATCTAGTTAGATTTTACTTTACTTGAAAGGGAAAGGCGTACCGGAATGCCGCAACAGCACACCGTCGCATTTCTCTCACTCCGACTTAATAAGATCCCTATGCGATTTACTTCCACACATGGAAATACCGACCCAAAAGTAAGAGTTGCCAGCACGGTAGATTATAAATTCAGTAGTTCTGGGGGTTAGATTAGTTCACACTATTACTTATTATAGTTCACACTAGAACTTATTAGTTCACATTCTATAAGTGTAGCTATTAAATCATTCACACTGAAAGAAATCACTTTAAAGAAACTGGAGTTTCTAATTCCGGTTTGCGTCAGCCTTCCATCGATGACGTAACAGATTTTTGCGTCAGAGTTGTCTGGCCTTACTTCTCGATTGTGACGGTCAAGGCAACGCGTACGAATGTATCAGTTTTTAATAAATTAAACAAAAAAAAAATAATATAATATAAAGAGATAAAGATAATCAATTTATACTGCAGATGGATGATATACCTGGTGATATAAAGGGTATAAAGAAACTCATTTTTTTAAATATAAATATATATTTTTTGATATCAAATTTACAGATACATTTTTATATGTATCACGCGAACGAACAAAAAAATATATTTTAATTTAGTTATAACAGAGAATATAAAATTGGAGTAATTCGCTAAAATAAATATATAAGTTCTTGTAAGTAATCTCACTATAGAACAAAACAAGGTGTAAATAATGGATTTTAATGATTTTGAGTCAAGGAATTAAGAATTAGAAAATTCGGTTGGCAATAAATTAAGGATTATATAATCATTCAACCATCAAGACTTAATTTGTTAATGTAACATATATTTCCGTTTTTTTACCGTCTGCTTATTTGAAACAAATATTAGTATTTTTAGGAAATCACATAAATATTTATTGCCAACACTAACGAGTTCTTGAAATAAAAAAGTCACATAAAATATTCGAATTTTAATACTTTAAGATTTTGTCAATTTTATTCTCGTGAACTAAATAAATTAATTAAATTAAATACTAAATGTTTATTTTCACTATATAATTCCAGCTAATTATTATCTAAAATTGTATGTATCAATATCAATACATACATAGGAAAAAATAATTGTTATGTAACTGTAACAAATTGTGATCTAGATTTTATATTTTATGTAAAAAACGCTGTAATCATACGTTATTCATTTAAAATTTTAAACTAGTATTGTCTTCATAAATAGCACTATTTGAGAACATAACAGCACAAGTAAATTACATACAATATACGTACAAATGTTTTAAATTAAATATAAGCATGATATACAGGGTGGTCCGAACTGTATTCCGGCAACTTCGGCAGCATATTCTGCAGATAAAAATAAGTAAAAAAGTTCCTTATAAATATACGTCCTAAAATGCTTCGTTTCTGAGATACAGGGCGTAGAAGTCTCATTTTTATTTCGATTTTTCCAAATAATTTCTGAACTAACATCGATCTCAGAATGAAAATTGGCGTCTAGGAGTTTTTTGACATGAGAAATTTAATTTTGATGTGAATATGACTCCTACTTGTAGAGGGCGCCACCTACATATTTTTAACTGGTTTGAAGAGTATAACTTTTCGTCCATACCTGTATAAAACTACTGAGCAAGAAAATATACATTTACGACGTTTTTTATGCAAATTTATGTACCCTCCCTACAATTAGGAGTCATATTGACATCAAAATCAAATTTCTCATGTCAAAAAACTCCCAGACACCAATTTTCATCCAAATATTGATGTTACTTCAGGAATTATTTGAAAAAAAATCGAAATAAAAATGAAACTTTTACACCCTGTATCTCCGAAACATTTTAGGACACACATTTATACGAACTTGTTTACTTATTTTTATCTGCAGAATACGCTGCCGAAGTTTCCGGAATACAGTTCTGACCACCCTGTATATTTTTTGATTTAAATTTGATGGGACAATATCCAAGAGATTTAAAAAAAAAGTAATAGTCATTTTTAGATTTATGACAGTTAATAATTTAGAACTTGAAATAAAAATACGATTTTAAGGCCTATTAGTAGAAATCTAACGTACAATACTTACATTTCAGTACCTTTATAATTTCACTAAATTATCTACACGAGTTATGCAATCAAACTTTTTTATAACCCTGTATACCTAAAGGTCAAAAACATTTCACGTCATAACAATAGTCTAATTGGCTAGCCATAAAGCTAATGCAACTAGTTAAAGGAGATTTGCTAACAGATACCGGGAAAATAAACAGAAAAGAATATAAAACATATATTAACAAATATTTTTTATGAAGGAATGTAAAACGTCAAGATCCCTTACATTAGTATCTGTAATATCTTATATTCTTTGCACTCAACAATCACATGGATGACGCTATGCTTCTACCAGCATAGCTAGGTATAGCGCTTGTCAGTTAACTGAGCTGGGCCTTTGTGATTTGGACCAAGCAACTTCTTTGGCGCTCGCGAAAGCAACATAGAATAAGTTGGTTCCGATGTTAATACCTGCAGCCAGGTAAAACACCATCCTCCATTGTCCTAATGTCTCCTAAAATATAATAGATTGTTACTAAGATAACATCACAGAATACCTTAAATATATACAGAACCAAACATATATGGAATCACTGGTTTATTTATAACTAAACTTTTTGCAAGGAAAAAAATTGGTATACAACTTTAAGGTAATGATTTTTGTTGTAAATAAATATGACAATAAAGAATAAATGACTGTTGCGATTTATTTCCTTGTGAATTTTGTGTTCAGTAGTAAAATCACGATTGTCCGGTAACTTTCATTCGATCAAAAAAAAAAAAAAATGCCTTATGTTGGATTAAAAGATGTACAGAGGGGATGAATTATTGCTCTCATTGAACAAGGAATGTCCCAAAGAGACGTAGCAAAGATAGTAGGCATTACCCAGGGTGTTATATCAAAAACATGCAAGGGACTTCGCACTACAAGGAACTAGGAACTCTCAAGAACAGCCCCAGACAAAGTCGTCAAAGAGTCACAACTAAATAACAAGACCGCTTTGTGTGCCAAATTGCTAGAAGAAATCGCAATGTTTCTCATCCAGAGCTACAAAAACAACTTCCGGCAGCTACAGGTGTGAACGTTACAGTTGAAACCGTAAGAAAAAGGATTTGTACTAGAGGATTATACAATAGGAGAGAGTTACGGATCCCACAATTATCTCGGCAAAATAAAATTGACCGGACTGAAGAGAAGAATGAAAAGAATCGACCAGAATTGGCCTAATATTAGATGACCATCGAATTCAGGTTCTCAGAGCTCTAGGAAAACGAGCGAGACTCCTGGCTGCCAAATCTGTACCAAGATATGAAGGAGGGACTGTAATGGTTCTGGGAGCAAAAACTCCATTGTTACCACTTCAAAAAAACTTTAACGGGTCGGAGGTATGTTGATTTAGTGCTAGAACCAATCATTAGACGTTAGAGAACTACAATTGGGGATAATTTTAACTTCTTGGACGATAATGCACCTCCCCATATCAGTAGAGTAGATAGAGAATGTCTTGAAACGAAAGGTGTCATAGTTTTGGACTGGCTTGCATGTTCACCAGATCTAAACCTTTTCGAACACTTGTGGGACCAGCTCAAAAGAAGGCTTAGAGCTCGTGGAAACAATCCAGGGAATTTCGCGCAGCTTAATGATGCAGCAATAGCAGAATGGGAAAACATACCTCAAGACGACGTTGATAATTTAATAAGAAGCATGTCAGTGAGGATAGAAGGTTGCATAAGGGCTAGAGGTGGCAACACGGATTATTAAAATTATCAATTATCTTTTTGTTTTTGCTTTTCGGCCATTAAAAATTTAAATCTCATTCTCAAAAGAAACCAAAAAAATACCACTGCGTTTATTTTGGACACTGATTAATTTTTTTTATTGTTATATGGATTATTTTTCATTAAAGGTCTTTGGTGACGACTGAGTTTTATTCATAAACACAAAATGTTCATATGTCTCAAAAATTATGAAAAATAAATTATTCCATATAAATTTGGTTGTCTTTATTGTCAAGAATCAAAATTAAAACTGAACTGGGTTTATATCAATATGGATATAGCCGAGGAAAACGAACGGGCCGACTCGCTCGCCAAAACTGGTGCAGGTACATCTTTCGTGGAACCAGAAGAGGCAGTTAAAGTTCCAAGAGAATCTTGGTACGGCCATCCAAACGCAGAACCGGAGAACTCGTAAGAGCCGACAGAATTGGTGCGCGAATGTGTATTGCAGTATACACGGGCTGAGATCACATCTGCAGAAGAGGGACTGCTTGAAGATGCCCAATGCGGATTCTGTATGGAAAGTGACTATGAAGAACATTAGGTATCCCACTGGAAAAAATATCAAAAAAGGTTTGCTATGCTCTATGGGTATGCCGCCGAATTTGTGGTAGAAACTGGGGATTAAACCCCAAAAATATGTACTGGCTATACGTGACAGCCATCAGATCTATTATCACGTATGGCGCAGTTGCCTGGTGGCAGAAAGCCAACCAAACAACGGCAAAGAATAAACTGTCAAAATTACAACGACAAGCATGCCTAGCGGTGACTGGTGCCTTTCATTCTACGCCGTCAAAAGCTTTGGAAACCCTACCCGACTCTCTCTCTTCAAATTCTTTTGGAGAGAGAGGCGAGATGGGCTACATATAGGTTTCTAAATATGGCACGAGAGAGCCAAGGAACAATCATGTTCATACAAAACCGACTAATAGACGAACTACAATCGGCTGAGATTCTGGGAATGGTCTCGGATCTCACACCACCAATCCAACTCTTGACGCGTACCTACAACGTCCTGTTTCCGAATAGGGACTAATGTGTTGGTACACGGACGGATCCAAAAACGATAAAGGATCTAGTGCAGGAATTTACTGCAGCAGTCCAAAGACTGAGATCTACCACAGTCTTGAAAAACACACCACAATTTTCCAAGCTGAGCTATATACTATTGAAACCTGTGTGCAACTGCTGGTAGAACAGAAATACACCGGGAAAACAATAAGCATATTTTTGGATAGTCAAGCCGCGTTGAAAGTACGTGAGGCAACGAAAAGCACGTCTATGACGATTCTTCACTGTAAGAAACTACTCAATATATTAGGAGATAGGAACAAAGTGTCGCTAATATGGATACCGGGAGATGTCTGCCTAGAGGGAAATGAACGTGCTGATTCCCTCGCCAAAACTGGTGCAGGCTCGCCATTCGTGGGCCCAGAACCGACACTTAGCGTACCAAAAAATCTCGCAAGAGACAGGCTCTGTGAATGGGTTAGGCGTGCGACGTTTCGGGATTGGTATGACAGTCACGGAACATGCCAAGACAATCCTAGCATATCCAAACGTAGAACAGACGAACTTCTAAAGGCTGGTAGGAACGGAGCGCGTACACTTACTGCAGTATGCACGGGCCACCGCCGCGCCGGCTGAGATCACACCTACAGAGAATGGGACTGGTGGAAGAAGCCGAATGCCGACTCTGTATGGAAGATGATGAAACAATGAAGCACGTTATGTGTACCTGCCCCGCTGAGGGCAGGACCAGGTTTGAGGTGTTTGGCAATCCCACGCTAGACCTATCAGACCTAGAAGACATATCGCCCTCGGACATAACGGCCTATGGCTGGGTCTTGAGGGTGAACTTTGATGCTCTTTTTCTATTAAAGAGCTTGTAGAAACTGAGCCACAATAGGCCCTCGCGGCCGCAGTGGAGGGTCCCACCTGGAACCCACTTTTAGTCAAATACAATACAAATACAATCCCGCTGGGAGCAGGACCAGGTTTAAGTTGTATGACAAAATTATGCTAAACTTATCAGCACTGAGTGACATATTACGCTAGAATATAACCACCTATATTCAAAGGTCAGAGCTTGAAGGTGAATTTTAAAGTTAGGAAAACTGTGCCACAAGACCCTTGCGGCCGCAGTGAAGGAACAAACAGGACCCACTCTTAGTAAAATACAAAAAATAAATAAATACAAATAGTGAGTCGTCATTGTTACGATCACTGCAAAGACATAATTAAGTGCCTTCTGTACCCAGTACCTATAATGAAGACCATAACTGTATTTTTTTCTTTTTGAACTTACCCTTCCTTCTATTAACATTCCAACGACATAGGGCGCTATGAAGCCGCACATATTCGAAGCGGCATTGGTGATGCCGTACATAGTGCCGGCAAACTTTGGACTTAGGGCTATGTGATTCATTTGATTTCCCGCGTAGGTGGCACCACCGAACGCACCAGGAATCGCCAGCAACAACTGAGCGGCCACTTTGTCACAGCCGACGTAGGCCACGCCCAGAAAACCCAGTGATGGTATGATAGAAGCTAAAGGGAATTAATTGTGTTAATTACTCTTTTATCGAGCCATTACTCTTTTTTTAAGCTTTTATATAGCCAAGAATGCAAATGTGTTCAATGAGAAGTTAATTTTAAGTATATTTCTATATTTTTTCGTTGGACTTTCTAAATACTCGTAAAAATGACTAGAAAGTGTTTGGTGTGCGGAAGTTCTAATATAAAGATCCCCGAATTATCTTTTCATAGGCAAGTAAAGCATTCAGTTGTTCTTTTATTTATATTAAACCACATGCATACTTTCTAGTTAGATTTCATAAGAATATTGATATTCGTACGGAGTGGCTAAATGTATTTTTTATAATAATTTAATTTTTGTGACAGTAAACATTCAATTTATTGTTCAAATATATGCATTTTACAAATTACATTTTTAAAATTAATGATCAAATATAGCGCGTGGACCATAGGTCCTTGACAAGGATAGATAGAGTAGAAGCACCGCGTGTGCAACAAAAAAAGATATAAATGAAAGTCGTTGATATGTTTGCGACAGCTTCCATAGTGATTTACTTATCCACGTAAGTATACAGGGTGGTCCGAACTGTATTCCGGAAAATTCGACAGCATATTCTGCAGATAAAAATAAGTAAAAAAGTTAGTATAAACATATGTCCAAAAATGCTTCGTTTCGGAGATACAGGGTGTAGAAGTTCCATTTTTATTTTCATTTTTTCCAAATAATTTCAGAAGTAACGTCAATATTTATTTGGATGAAAATTGGTGTCTAGGAGTTTTTTGACATGTGAAATTTGATTTTGATGTCAATACAACTCCTACATGTAGGGGGCGCCACCTACTTGTGTTTTAACTGTTTTGAAGAATAATAACTTTTCTCTCTCGTACCTGTATAACACGACTGAGTGGAAAAATGTACATTTTCGTGATATTATACATAAAAAATGTCTCTTGGTAAAAATCACTACGAGAACCGTTCTCAAGATATTTAGAATATAAATAGTCAATACATATCATTATTGACAAAAAATAAACACGTTGAGTAGATATAGTATTTGACTGAAATAATACACTTGGGAGATTTTTATTTTTCTAAATTAATCATAAATTTTTCTGCGAAAAAATAATGATAAAACAGTTTCTGTTGAACTTTTGGCACAAAAACAATTCATATTTATGATTTCAGTCTAATAACTCTTTAGTCAACATGTTAAATTTAGGTCAATAATGATAGGTATTGATAATTTCGATTCCAAATATCTCGAGAACCATTTCTCATAACGATTTTTACCAAGAGACCTTTTTTACGTAAAAAACATCACAAATGTATATTTTTTTACCCAGTACTTTATACAGGTACGGACGAAAAATTATTACTCTTCAAACCAGTTAAAAAATATGTAGGTGGCGCCCTCTACAAGTAGGAGTTACAGTGACATCAAAATCAAATTCCTCACGTCAAAAAACTCCCAGACACCAATTTTCATCCAAATATTGACGTTACTTCATAAATTATCTGGAAAAAATCGAAATAAAAATGAAACTTCTACACCCTGTATCTCCCAAACTAAGCATTTTAGAACATACATTTATACCAACTTTTTTACTTATTTTTATCTGCAAAATATGCTTCCGAAGTTTCCGGAATACAGTTCGGACCACCCTGTATATGATCTAGGGAATAACCCCATATTCTGTCCAACGAGAAGATACATAACAGTGACAGTAACGTTTGTTATTTTAATTCCCAGGTAAATGGTATTTTCTGTCATTTTTTGGGTGTCGTCTGTCGAAATCTTCTTGAATACTTCGACAACTTTGTGTCTGTTCCCAGAAAAACCCTGACTAGTTAGCACGTTTCTCATTGGTTAAAATGCGTAGAAACCTGATTGTTAGTCAGGTTTCTACGCATTTCAACCAATAAGAAACGCGTTGACTAGTCAGGGATTCTTCTGGGAATAGACCTTTTGTCGTACTTTGTATACTATTACTAGAGTAAATGTTACAATTGACTTTAAACTTACCAACTGAATTCCATAACTTATAGGACATTGACAGTGAAATAAATCCTTTAAGCAACATCCAATCAGCCAGCATACTTATCAAAATACCAGCCCACCAGCTAGTTAAGTACGGTACAGCAGAAAGAATCGCATTCTAGGAAAAAAATCAGTATAAAACTATATAAAACTGATCAGAAAAATATATATTATGGAACAAAGTTATAAATGTTTAAATAAATCAAATAACAATTATCACACCCCTATAACTTTTTTATTTTTTAGATAAAAAAAAACAGCGCCCAGTTGGCTGGGAAATGACGGTCGATGACAGCGATCTTCATTTCATAGCCATCGCTGACGCCTTTTTTTTCGATCATACAGTATAATATTCTCTAGAACCTAGACTTGGTACTAATATAATTACAATATGATATCAGCAAACAGTACGCCATTTAAAATAACATAAATTATGAGGTTTAGAGGACTTTAGAGGAAAAAGTTTTTCACATGATAGAAGTGATACATGGACTTACTGATTGAATATCAAAATGAAGAATTTTGTCCATGTACGTTGGTAGTTCAGTCAATTGGGTGTAAAATGCCCATGAATTTCCACACTGAGTCACCAAAATAGCCCATAAAGGTAAACACGTCAACATTTTTGACCATGGTATTTGGAGCTTGTCCTCATCCTAACCAAAAATAAAATGCGATTTAGTCAAACCGTATTCCTTTTTTTTATTTATTATTGATGCCAAAGAAGCTTACCTGTGGTCCTATACTTGCTAAAATAAATGTTTGCTCTTGTCTATCTATCCTCGGATGCGCTGTAGGAGAGTCATACACGAAATATAACCAAAATCCAAACCAAATTATACCAAGAATACCGAATATGTAAAAAGCTAGAGGCCAACCGCCATCGTATTCCAAAGAACACAGCCAACCAGAAAGCGGAAGAGATATAATAGTACCGAAATTAGCACCTATAATAAAAAGATAAAATTATAATTTAAATTTCCATGTCAATAACTAAGTTAACTATGAATATCGTATGTTGATATTAGAATAATATTTAGAAAAAAAAAATTATAAAGTTTTGATATGTTGAGGTTATACGTACTAAAAGGACACTTTTTAAAATCAAAAGAGTTCCTAACTGTAAAGTGTGAGCGTCACCCCCAAAAACCACCCCCAATACGCACTGCGGTGGTTTTTCTCGTTTTTGTCGAAAACCATTAGTCGCTCAGAAAATTTTATTCTTGTCAAAAATATTCCTTATAAAATTTGCTACAAAAAAGGTTCTATTCATTATTTATATTTATCCAATGCATTTCGAGCAATAACCGTTTGAAAAATGGAGTACAAAAAAAATACAGGTCGCCTTTCAAATTATCTCCCAAGATATTCTAACGCCTGACTCCCAAGGTATTTTAACGTGCTAAATATACACGCAACAGATATAATAATACTGTATAATATAAACAAAAACATTGCCTATTCCACTAAACTAACAGTCATACGTTCATCTACATATTGTCATCGTCTATAGTTTCTAGAATGTACTCAGTATTCGAACAACTTTGCCCAAGACAGGTTCCGCACATAGTTGTACAATTTCATGCCGGCTTTAATGCAACTTCATCTTTTTACACAATCTTGTTTGCTGATGTTCAAATTATTTGTACTGCCATCAAAATATCTGAGAAAAATGAACAAGTTCTAGTCGTTGGACAAAATGTCGATCTTGTTGTTTCATTAGCAGTACTTTCCGCCGATGAAAAAGACATTCTTTTTCTGAAAGAAGCCATAGGTAATGTGAAACAACGAATGTATAGTTCGAGACTTGGAATCATCCAGTATTATACGTAATTTAAAAAAATCAATTTTATTTCTTCACGCTACAAAAGCTGTCTACAAGTGAAGCTCACACTTTAAAGTTAAGAACTCTTTTGATTTTAAAAAGTCTCCTTTTGGTGCGTCTAATCTCAACATATCAAAACTTTATAATTTTTTCTTCTATTCGGCTATTTTAGGTCTAATATAAACAAATATACTAATAACAAAATCTCAGAGAACTGTAAGTAAACATAGGAAAAAAAATCTCTTTAAATTTCTGCTATTTATGTATATCAAAAATTTGTCTTCAACTGATATTCTAGTGAAAACTGGTAACATTACAAGATGCAAACAAAAACATGACTTTTATTAACAAATATTTTAGACCACCTTTAGACTTACTTATTTCTTTGAGATAGAAATATATAGGGTGGTCCGAACTGTATCCCGGAAACTTCGGCAGCATATTCTGCACATAAAAATAAGCAAAAAAGTTCAAAAAAAACTTATGTCCTAAATACTTCGTTTCGGAAATACAGGGTGTAGAAATTTCATTTTATTTCGATTTTTTTCCTAATAATTTCTTAACTAAATTCGTTATTTGGATGAAAATTAGTATCTGGGGATTTTTAAACATGAGAAATTTTAATTCGATGTCAACATGACTCCTACTTTTAGGGGGCGCCACCTATACATATATTTTTAACTGTTTTAAAGAGTAATAACTCCGCTCCTGTATTACACGACTAAGTGAAAAAACATACAGTTCTTTGAAGAAAATGTCTCTTACAGATATACATCCCGTTCTCCAGATATTTGGAATCTTAATCATCACTGAAAAAATTAAAGATTTTCACTATAAAGATATTTGACTGAACTAATAATTTTCAAGACATTTTAGTACCATAGGTTTAACTGAAGCTTTAAAACCTAATTGTAAGTTTTCTAAAAAATTCACGATTTTTAAAAAATTTTACTTAGGGTAAAACAAGCAATTTTTTTAGAGAAAAATTTCAAAAATTACGAAATTTCTACAAAATTGACAGTCAGGTTTTAAAACATATTCTGTTAAACTTTTGGTATCAGAACGTTGAGAGAATTATTAATTTACACAAATATATATCTAGTGAACATGTTTAATTTGTGTCATTGAGGGCATGTATTGATTTTAAGAATCCAAATATCTTGAGACCGGTTGCTCGCAGTGATTTTTAGCAAGAGACCTTTTTTGCGTAAAATAAGCCGTAAATGTATATTTTTTCACTCAGCAGTGTACTACAGGGACGGACGAAAAGTTATTACTCATCAAAACAGTAAAAAAACATGTAGGTGGCGTAGTACGAGTCATATTTACATCGAAATCAAATTTCTCATGTTAAAAAACCTTTGAATAAGAAGACTAAGGAAGGAGCATATCAAAAATCTTAGGTACACCGCGATGGGCCTCAAATATGGCCGACTTAAATTCCGGTTTATCAGGGTCGTTCTAATTTTGTTTAAAAAATCTAAAACTATGATGTAGGGTAGACGTGGGGTAGACTCAATAATTTGTTGTTTTATTTTACGGTGTGAATAAATGTTGGTAGTTACTAAAATTGTTATAAAAATATATAATTCTAATAAAAATAGATAAGTTATAATAAGTATTTATCATAGATTTAGGAAGAACAGATATCACATTATGCATTTTAACCCGACCAAACATTCGGAGGTTGACTACGTACTGTAAAAATCAACTGAGATAGAGAAGGCGACATTGCTACATATCAAATTTGCACCTATCTACTTAGTTTGATTTGCAGAAAAGGTGACTTTAAAACCTTCACCGGATATCAATAAATCTCAATTTCTTAATTAAATTAATAGTTTATTTTTAAAGAAGCATGCGTAATAATATGTTATTAACCAGAGGATATATGCGTTACTATTAAAAGACATGTTTACTGTTTAATGTGCTGAAACGTCCAGAACTATTGGCAACGTCGCTGCTAGTCTTCCAGAATGAAATGAGCCGTCCGTCCCACCACCCCTCGCGACGGCCCACTACCCATGGTCAACGTACTACGTTTAGCTTACGGTGTGTTTGAAGTCGGAATCAAGTCCGAAGTGACCTTTTCAGTGTTTTTCAGTAGTTTTTGTTTTTGTTTAATGTACTTTTGAATCTGCGAATTTTCAATATGGTACGACAGTGTCAAATGTGTGGACAAATAAGCTCAAATTACCCGAATTTGTCTTTTCACAAGTAGGTATTGTTTCCGCTGCGCCGTAATCGTACATAGGCGTCCCACAAGGGAGCCTCTCACAATTAAAATAATTTCTAATTATATTTGTTGAATTTTGATCTATTAAAAAAAGAACGTAGTAGCCGGTAATTGAATTATAATTCGTCTCAATTACTACCTAATTGTTGTAGATCATAACAAATTTGAATATAAACGTTACATTTGAAACTTTATTATAAGCCAGAAAGTGACATTTTTTTTTTTAAATTGCGTTCTATTTTGGTCATTATATACGATATTCTAAAGGAATTTTGCTCAATAAATAAACAAAGGTGTTTACCCGACCTTTTTTACATTTTATTGCTTTATTATATCTGCCCCTTCGGCCTTGTTTAGACAATTTTTTACCACCGTACAAATACATCTTCTTAGAGTTATTTGTACGGTGTGTTTAACTTTTTTTAGAATGGGACGAACTGTAAATAATTCTTAGCCTACTAGTTTTATACATACCTATATAGAGAGCGACCCAGGCCTCCAAAAAAGCTTTTTACCTATTACGTTTTTGGTTTGTGATTTTTATTTCAATTTTTTTACATAAGATGGGGGCCATTGTAACGCACATTTTCAAAATATTTTTGTCAACATACAGGATGATTCAAACCGTAATACATATGCTTAATACAGTTCATGAAGATTAGGACATTTAACTAAAATTTGATTATCTGATGAAGCTACCCTTAAAAGTAATGGATTTGTAAATAAACGTAATAGGTATTCATTATTATGCGACAAAAATCCCATACTGTAGCACACAGATTTTATACTTTTAATGATAAATGCCTTCTATTGCGAGACTAAAAGGCAATTGCCTCGTATCAGAGCCATCATAATACAAGAAGAAGACCGAAAGTCAAATCTTGTCTTATATTTTCAAAAAAAAACACAATTTTCTCATTAAATATTGAGTATAGGAAGTTATTAATAAAATACAAGATTAAACAACTATTACACAGTACTTCACAGGAAGCTATCGATTGCGAACTAACTAAATCGTTACTAATTGGGTACTAATTTTGAAAAGTTCTTTTTAAGATAAAAAAAGGTAAAACTAAAACCTAAACTATCATTTGAGATTAAACGGGAAGTTCTAAATAATGTTGCCTATTCTAAACAAGAAAAATTTATTTATAAGTTAAGTTTTATAACATTCCTAATTAAATTTGGGCGAAAAGAATATTTCTGTTTGCTGTAGGTAATTTTCTCTCAGGAAAATACGCAAATAAAAATGACTTTTAAGTCAAAAAGTCAAAAGGACAAGTTATTCCAAAAGGACTGTCCTTTTCAAAAAGGACAAGTGGCAACCCTAGGTATTTCTGGAATGGAAATTTAATGGCAAATCTACAACTTTGGTTTGAAAATATGTTCCGGCCACCTATGTTTACAAAAATGTATAATATGTGCCTAAATGCCTCCATATTCTGAAAAAAAAAAATTGAAAGAAAAGTCACCAACCACAAACCTAATATAGAACTGTTTCGGAAGCCTGAGTCACCCTGTAAATATTCAAAAGTAACTGAAAGTTTATATAGAAGTAACTGAAAGTTTAAATTGAAAATCGACGTTGGAGTGATTTTCGAAAACTACTAACGTTTCAACATAAGTATATGTGGGATATTAATTGTATTATTATATTAGACCTTATAACAAAACCATCTGACGAAAAAGTGTTAATGTAGTATATTAATATGGAGTAAAAATTTTACTAATTAATTTACTTTTAGTTTACTAATTAAATTCGTTCCAAAAAACGATACGCCACTGGCCATTAGAACAATCCCAAATGCGCCTAGTTGCCGGGGTCGGAAATTTTAGACTTCTCTGTCTCTTCTGTCCTTGTTTGACACATTGGAATGTTTGATACACTACCAACGAGTATTTATAAATGAGATGTTCGGTCTCTCTTTATAATGTCTTTGGTATTTATTAACACAAACATCCGATACGCTACTGAAGCAGGTAAGTCAAATTAACGTATATAAATTCTTTGACATCTAATCTTTGACAAGTAATAAATAAAAGCTAAAATGCAAGAAAAATATATAATTTAGTTAATTTAAGTGAATTTCAAAAATGATCGGTTTACTACACGTATGTATATTATATAGTCACTTACTAGCGAAAAGTTGTTCCATTATTTCACTCAATTTTTGCCGAGATCTACCGCACGCTACACAACCAACTATTTTAGAGTCTTTTTCGATAAATCGCGATAGTGTCACTGTTAATTTAAATTCTGCCACAATTTCCATCTAGATTTACTACCTTTATACAACTATCAGTAGTAGAATAAATAATAAATAACATAAAATAAGCTCCGTAAAGACTGACAAATCCACAAAATTTCAAATCAAATTCAAATGTGTCAAATGAATCGTCAAACAGAACTGTCAAGGATCCCCACCCTAAAGTGCTTTTATGGTGCTTTTTCCGCCCACCATGCATGAATACATAGATAGCATTATGCTCCTTCCTTAGTCTTCTTATTCAAAGTAAAAAACCAACCCAGATGACAATAATTTTCATCCAAATATTGACGTTAGTTCAAAAATTGTTTCGAAGAAATCAAAATAAAAATTAAATTTTACACCCTCTATCTTCGAAACCTCCGAAAAAGCCTTTTTGGGACATAAGTTTATACAAACTACTTATTTTTATATGCTGCCGCTTATATGAATATGCTGCCAAAGTTTCCGGAATACAGTTCGAACCACCCTGTATACTTACCAGCATAAACATAAGCACCAAACTTGCTCCTCTCTAAAGGAGGTACCCACTTTGCCAACATGGCATGCATGGATGGAAAGGTGACACCCTAAAAAAATAAAATAAGCATCGTAACTATACCAGAGTTGCTTATACCTAAATGTTCTCAAAATTCTCATTTTTCTAGAGAATAATTAGAAAAAAAACAGAAAATTCAGAATAAAATTTTAAAAAGTTAGAATAAACTGTACCCACCATTGTCAAAAACAAAGAAAGAAATAAATTACATTCTTTAGAAGCAGCACAGGTTTATTTTTTTACTATAGATACCGACAATTGCGTTGCTTTTAAAAATATATATTACTACCAATTAAACTTTTAGTTACGTAATCGAGGGCGCGATTTTTAAATTCATTGTTGCCAACCTTGGACATATTCGGCGCCGCGCCGGACTGATTAACAGGAATTTAAATTTCCCGCTGGGAATTCAGGTGGTAGCTCTACTGTAAAAATGTCAAGTTGTCACATTTATATTTTTATTTCCTGCATTGTCATTCGTTTTGACTACGGTTTTTACACTTTAATTTTGTATTACGAGTTATTGGTTTAAATGAATTGTGTTGTGATAATTTGAGCTTAGAAGTTTTTACTAGCATTGCTCCTTTTAGAACCTCTTTTAGTGCGAAGTGTACAAGATGGCGTAATAGCTATCTTGTACTAATCGCCACTTTATTAAAATATTTTGAACGGGAAACCGGTAGTAATGACCCTTTATGTCCCTTAAGTGCTGTTAAGGAGGTGAATTTTGTTGATGTAAATAATAACTGTTTATATATTTATAATTAATTTATTTTACTGTCCTAAAATATTCTGATTAAAAGAAAATGTTTGAAAGTGGGCAGCACTGTGCCAGTCAAGCTTAATCATGTGACTAAAAGTTTATTTGATATGAACATATAGTAATCGCAAAAGATTTTCCGATGCACGTCATCAATCATATCGACATTGACACTAAAGTCTATAAACCTGACTAAATGAAATTTTGGCGAAAATGTTTAAATTTGTTGTATAATTTAAGACACCGAGCAGCTCTTCATTTTACTTTATAGAGCAAATGATTGAAACAGATATTTTATTTAGATTAAAGCTGCAAAAATTAGTTTAAACCGAATTTTATTATCGCTATGTTGGGCACACTGCGCCGTTTTCAACAAGGTTGTCGTTTATTATTTGACAATTATCCTAATTTCAGTTATTATTTTGTATAATATCGTGTTGTTGAATCTTTGTGATTAATTCTCGTTTTTTGCTTATTTCATAGAGTCTTTTTTAAAAATCGTACTTTTAAGCACAAACAGTTCTTTTAAGAATTAAATCTTCGAATTTTTGTATTGCAGTTCTTGAAATTGTGTGTTAAAAATATGTTGAAGCATTTTAACAGTCGAAGCAAAGAACTTGTAGCTTCCCTGATAAATTATTTTACGTGACAATAAAGATCCTTTATTACCCTTGCTTGCAGTCAGAGAAGTAAGTTTGATTGATAAGCACATTACACCACTTTCAAAGTTATTTCTAAGTTAGTTTTTATTAAATTCTGTGAATATTAGTTTGTGCATTAATAGCACCCCCTTACTTGTTATTACCACTTATGGCGTTGTAAGATGTACATCAATAAATAAATAAATAACCCATAATAACGCTTAGAATAATGGATTAGTTTTTGCCAATATATATGTAATAAGTAAAATAAGCTATATAAAACAAATAAATCAATTACTTACTAAAATATTAGTTATTAAATAAAACGGAAAAATATTTAAAAAATAATATAATAAATATACTGTTTGTCACTTTTAAATTAAGATTCATCTAATAGATCCATCACAATTTGGCAGCGCTGTCGCCATCGCGTGTCATTCAAAGTTGATCACGTGCATCGGAAATTGTTTTGGAATTACCATAGTAGTTTATTTTAATTTAATATAAATATTTTTAATAATTAATATAATTCATTTATAACAAATGTATTCTGAGATATAAAATATATTGGATAGTCTTAACTGTTACTTGTTTGGGAAAGTAATTAGTAACCTGTAAAGATTAATACATATATATTCAAACCCCGTTATATGCGATTACTTAAAGAACACATCTACAGCGTAAAGCGGGGTATTAGAGTACTGTACACATTAATACAACTTACTTCTCCCATGCCTTCTAACACTCTAACAATAATAAATAAAGGAAAGTTAATTCGGGCAGCTATTGGACTGAGCAACGTGAAAATCGCAGTGATAAGTACTCCAATTCCATAGACTAGTTTACCACCAAAAAGTTCTGCCATTCGGCCGCCAGGTACTTGCGTCAGAACATAACCGTAAAAAAACGCTCCAAGAACTATACCTTGCGTCTTTTCGTCCCAGTCAAACTCCCCAGTCTGGAAAAAATACAATATATGTGACATTTTTAAACCAAATTTAAATACAAATGAATGATTTAGGTCAAATATCCTTTAAGCTATTAGCAGAAAATAAAGAGATTTGTTAAAAACAAATCTATATAGGGTGTCCCCATGTTTCGTGGACATAGATCCATATACATATACTACATATACTCAGCCTAACATCTAAAAAATGAAGCCCAAACAGTGAAAGAGAAATATGGAATTCTGCATAAGTCTATTTCACCCGAATATTCATTTAACTGCGCATGCCTTACCTGAAGAAGTTTTCAATGGTCGGTGTTTTTAAAGGGAAGTGGTTGACTGACATTTCACCTAACCTTCAATTTTATTTATATTTTTATTATTATTATCATGGAGTTGGAAAAATATCAAAAAATAGTTGGAAACAATAAACTAAATAAAATCACTCTTTTACACGCACAAATAAAAGTAATCCAAACAGAACTAAACAACAATCAATCGGAGTTTGGCGCAATCGCAGTTCAATCGATATCCGGGTGAAATAGACTTATGCAGCATTAATATGGAGCTGAATTATGTTGTCTTTTTCTTACGACACGGAAACAGCACACGGGGTTAAATACGGAACACTGAGTATGGTATTGGGGAGTTATATGTATATATAACTTATTACAATTGTACAACACATTCAACATAATAAAACTAAAAAATATATATTTTATAAATACATCTAGGTCCAGGCACAACATAAGCCGCGTAGACCCAGCCAAAAAGAACGCGACTCGACAGAGGCACACAGACGACGGGGTATTTGGCGCTTGGGTGTGTTTTCATTGGTAGTTTAAATCATCTGACTATTGAAAAATGCGACAAAGTCTCTATCTCGTATGCATCGCTCAGGAAGTTAAAGTGCCGGTGGCTGGCCTGTTGTGGTGAGAACAGCGTGGGTGAATTAATTAGCGTGTATTTTTGTTTTTATTTAGACATTTAGGGCGAGAATTATTCAGATTGTTTGTGTTTATAAATTTAAATTATTTGATGGCTAGGGAGATGGGTATCATGAGTGGATGGGAGGTGGCGGAATTTCCAAAATTTGTTATCTTATTGGAGTTTGTCTAAGTAGACAGTCGTAGTGGAAGTGGAAACGGGAAAGTTGTTGTCCATCTCTGTTTAAGCATAGACTTTTTATAGGCGTTTCATTCCAATGTATGTAATTCCTATGCCTAGAGATCCATTGCCGGGCCTGTATACTCACGAGCCTCCACTGCATTAAACTTTAAAAAAATAAACACATTTTTTTAGATATTATAAGAACCGTTATTCCGATTTGAATGAGATTTTGGTTGCTAAGTGTTTTAACATTTGAATTTTACAAAATCAAGAAAAAGTGCGGGAAGGGTGAAAACTACTCCCACCCCTACATAAATTTTAATATAAATATTTTCTAACTCAACCGACGACCGATTCTTTTTTCGTAAAATGGTCCTTCTAGTATTTGCTACATTTTTTGTCTCTTGTAAAAAACGCCACCGCGCATAGTTTTTGACGTTCTTTTTTATTTTTCATTGATGCCCTCTAACGGACAAACGAAGCACTTTTCTATAAAGGTAAATTTTATGCAATTAACTTAGTTTGATTCAAAATATACGTAGTTGTTCTATGTCCACGGAATATTGAAACTTCCTGTATATTTTGTAAGTCTGTTTTAGAAAAATTAACTCTCCAAAATTTTTCTTTTTTAAACTAGGTATGCGATGTTTTTTTACAAGAGTAAAAAATGTAACAAATACTAGAGGGACAATTTTATGAAAAGAAAATCTGTCGTCGGTGGAGTTTTTTTTACTCGTATCCAACTCAGTATATATAAAAAAAATTAAGAAACACAAAAATATATATAAAATATACAAAACGGCTAAATTAATAAAAAAAGGCACATCATACATTTAAAAAAAAAACATAGTCAAACAATCAACATAAATAGGAACAATACTTGTACAGAATTAGACAAACTACAAAAAATGGAGTTGGAAAATATTTATACTAAAATGTTTGTAGGGGTGGGGGTAGTTTTTACCCTTCCTGTACTTTTCCTTGGTTTTTGTAAAAGCCAAACGTTAAAGCATTTAGCAAAACATAGACACCCAAAATCCCATTCAAATCAGAAACACGGTTCTTAAAATATCTGAAAAAATGTGTTTATTTTCTTAAAGTTTGGTGTCCTCTAGCGGATAAACGAAGCACTTTTGTATAGAGGTAAATTGTGTCCAATGTTGTAGTTGTATGTCCACGGAATATTGGGACACCTGTATTAAAGGTCTATCATTAGAAAAAATATAAATTTTCAAAACACCTTTCAGTTTGAGGTTTGTAAACCATTCAAAAGTTCCTAATACTTACTGATGGTACTGTACTGTTGGTAATATTTCCATTCATTGGACAATGATCAAAAGTGTCATTACTATTTGGTGGCTGAGGTATAGCTGTCTGATTAACCATAGCTACTATAGCTACAGAGAGGTTGACCCGCATAGCGTAAACATTGGCAAATCCCAAAAATCCGAGTATACCCAGAACATGCCTGGATTTGATACAGTTCTTTGTGTCCTCAACTAAAACGGAAATACAATATTATTTTATTAAGCATTAGTTATAGTGCGAAATAGAATAGATAATGTCTAATGTAGATAATATATGATAGGTATTATATTTTGTTTTTAGAATTAATCTAATACAGATCATTAACAGAGCAACTATAATTAAAGTCAATAACCAGAGCATATAAGAAATTAGCCTATATATTAACCATTTTAAAAAAATATTTACATTATAGTATATATGGACCAAAAGTACCACAAATATAAATAGAAGTATACCTATTTAATTCTACAAAATTAGACAGAATTCTACAAAAAATACATAAATATTGATCAGACTTAGCTAAATCATGGTCCTAGCAATTAACATTAAAAAGTAGTGTTGTTTTACCAGCATCATTTTTATTATATTGGTCTTGGTTTTCAAAGACATGTTTACTGATTGTTGGTAGCTTTTCAAAACCATTCAACGAATGTTTCTTTTTCGTATTTTTTCTACCAATTACTACCATATTGAAACTTAATACTTATTCACAGATACACTGGTACTAAATTTATCATATTAAGAGGTGGCCTCTTTCGTTAACTCATTAAGCTATAAATTATTACAATTATCTTATCAGACTTTATCAATAAATTCCTATGACATAAAAATAATAATTACTGGTTATTTACTCTAAGCCCTTACTTATAAACATTTAACAATAAAAGTGTCACATATACTTATTTTTGTCTTTTTTTGGTAGATGTAAACTTCAATGTAAAAAGAATTGTATACCTGATGGGGGAATAATTCGAGTAGTTTCATCTTCATCTTCATAAATGCTCTCAGTATCACTATCGTATTCATTTATTACTTCATCTCTATTTGGATCATACATGATTACAAACTAACATTCATTTAAATGCATGCACAATAACGAAAAAGTAATAATTTAATAAACACTTCTATTCTTACAATATTTCTTTATGACTCATGATCTTTTTTCCCTGTTTAGATAACTAATAATAATTTAATCGTTACTTAAATTACTAAGATTCAACAAAGAATTATAGAATTACAGTACAGATTAGTGAAAATGGGGCGTCAAATTCAATTTGTGTCTTTGTTATAATTTTTCTTTATCGACTCTAAACAAATCATGAATCAGCTGTGTTTTTGTTTTGTTGGCTGTGGTTTGGTTAGAAACAGCCTTCAAATGTCAAAAATGCTCAACAGTTTCTTTTAGGAAATTATATTGGCGACACTGGGACCTGATTCCTAGCCAGGGCAGGACTCGACTTTATGTGCTTTGTAAAATAAATTTATAAATACAGGGTGTTTCAAAAAACATGTGCCATCTCTCGTGGGGAGATTCCTCACATAAAAATAAGATGTATTTTTTATATTAACATATGTCCGATTCAGCTTTGTTTCGTAGCTACATGGTGTTAAAGTCTTAATAATCTTTCGATTTATTATAATTTTCTTCCAAATACTTTTAATGATTCGAATAAAATTTTAAGGGTAAAAGTTACTATAAGACTTGCATCTATATCTAAACGTGACTCCGCATACCACGCAAGCGCCAATATATTTTCGCGCGAGTTACGAATTAAAGTTTTGTTATGTAGTGGGTATTATTTTAGTTGTGAATCATAGTTCTTGTGTTTTGTGGCTGAAATACAATATGTATGTACATTTTGATGTGAATTAAAATTCTCTATTAAATAAGACACATAATAGGTAATTATTTCATTAACTCAATTATTATATTCACGTTAATATTAAGGAACATTGGACATAAATCAAAATGTGTCATTTGTAAATACACTGATCAACAATTGATAAGGATCACAAACTTATATCGCGATATATTTTTAGTTCCATTTTTTTAAATGTGTAACGTTTGATTTTTTTAGAAATAATCGGGTTAAAAACTAGTCCAGGAAAAAAAAAAGAAATTTATTTAAAAAAAATGTATGAAAAATCAAAATGTTCACCTATTTCCAGTTAAATCAAATTTTATTTTTTTTAATGAATAATTTGTTGCATATGAAATGCATTGTTATGTCTTTGTTCTGCATTTCCAAGTGACATTCAACACACATTTCACTTTCTTATACGTGCTTGAATAATAGTTTTAAACGTTTTTAAATTAAGCCTGAATTCTGAAATGACCGAAAACCCGGAAAAATCCTAATGTTGATCCTCAGCAATTGTTGAGCAATGTAGTTATAACTTTTAGTATCACAAATAAAACATAACAAATAAATAATAAAATATATATATTTTTGTTTAATAGACTAAGAAAATGAAATAAAACTCTTTTTTAATAATATTATGTTTAAACAAAAACGAAGGGCATACATACATCATTAGAGTATACATATATTATTTTTCAAGTTCCTTTGAGTCCCTTAAAGCCTTCCGGTCCAATAAATGATTCGGAAATTATTTCGTGCTCATTAGGTGGAATATTGTTATTATTTTCGTTCATTAAACTATAATCAGAAGGCGCCAAGACGAAATCGTAAAACGACGTGCGGGATAGCGCTTGCGTAGTATGCGGAGTCACGTTTAGATATAGATGCAAGTTTACTATAAGTGCTACATATTTTAATGCTAAAATAATGTCGATTAATTCATCAGGGACGTGCATATGGGTTATCACTGAAATATTTTTCAAAAAAAATATGTGCGCCACTGGCTTTTTTCTTTTAATATCAAAATTGTATGGGCAGGTTAATGCCAATAAAAAGTTATCTCTTGATATTTTGTCGAATTCGGCCTCCTTGATAAGATAAACGCAATTTTATTAATCACAATTAATAAAATTAAAATTAAAATAAAGTTAATAAATTATATACTTTACCTAATTTATTATTAAATATTATTACTATTAGTTACTATTAGGTATTATTACTATTAGTCCAACCTATAGCAATTTATTTAAAATAAAAAAAAATTGCCCATACTAAAATATGTTAATAAAAAGTTGGTAGGCAGGTCTTTTAGTTTCCAAGTAAAGGAATTATTCCAATTTTTTATCTCAAAAAGTGCGACTTTGACTGATTTTGATGTTATTACAAATTTTGTTGCAAATATTATTCCTAATCTTAATTTGAAAACCGCGTTTCGCTAGCTACTGTAATTTTGGAGTTACGATTTTTTAAAATTTTTAATCCCCTTCCATACCCCCTTACCAACCCCCACCCCCACCAAAAACTAATGGCCAGATTCTCGGGTGCCACAGTATTTTTGTGCCAAATTTGGTTAAAATCGGTGTAGGGTTTTTTTTAATTAATTTTTTTTTTGAATTACCGTGTTACAGATGGACAGACGGACAGACAGATAGACGGACAGACGGATAGACGGACAGACGGACAGACGGACAGACGGACAGACGGACAGACGGACAGACGGACAGACGGACAGACGGACAGACGGACAGACGGACAGACGGACAGACGGACAGACGGACAGACGGACAGACGGACAGACGGACAGACGGACAGACGGACGAACGGACAGACGGACAGACGGACAGACGGACAGACGGACAGACGGACAGAACGGACAGACGGACAGACGGACAGACGGACAGACGGACAGACGGACAGACGGACAGACGGACAGACGGGACAGACGGGCAGAACGGGCAGACGGGCAGACGGGCAGAACGGACAGACGGGCAGACGGGCAGACGGACGAACGGACAGACGGACAGACGGGACAGACGGACAGACGGACGAACGGGCAGACGGGCAGAACGGGCAGACGGGCAGACGGGCAGGCGGGCAGACGGACAGACGGACAGACGGACACGACGGACAGACGGACAGACGGACGAACGGACAGACGGCTGACGGACGGACAGACGGACAGACGGACAGACCGACAGACTGGACAGACGGACGAACGGACAGACGGACAGAACGGACAGACGGACAGACGGACAGACGGACAGACGGACAGACGGACAGACGGACAGGCGGACAGACCGGACAGACGGACAGACGGACGAGACGGACGACCTTTTGGACAGACGGACAGAACGGACAGACGGACAGACGGACAGACGGGCAGACGGACAGACGGACAGACGGACAGACGGACAGACTGGACAGACGGACAGACGGACAGACAGACTGGACAGACGGACAGACGGACAGACCTGGACGGACGGGACAGACGGACAGACGGGACGAACGGACAGACGGACAGACGGACAGACGGACAGACGGACAGACGGACAGACGGACAGACGGACGAACAGACAGACGAGCGAACGGGCAGACGGGCAGACGGGCAGACGGGCAAGACGGGCAGACGGGCGGACGGGCCGACGGGCAGACGGACAGACGGACAGACGGACGGACAGACGGACAGACGGACAGACGGACAGACGGACAGACGGACAGACGGACAGACGGACAGACGGACGAACGGACGAACGGACAGACGGACCTGACGGACGTAGACGGACAGACGGACAGACGGACAGACGGACAGACGGACAGAACGGACAGACGGACGGACAGACGGACAGACGGACAGACGGACATGCGGACAGACGGACAGACGGACAGACGGACAGACGGACGAGACGGACAGACGGACAGACGGACAGACGGACAGACGGACAGGCAGACGGGCGAACGGGTAGACGGGCAGACGGGCAGACGGACAGGCAGACGGACAGACGGGCAGACGGGCAGAACGGGCAGACGGACAGACGGACAGACGGACAGACGGACAGACGGACAGACGGACACGAGTTGGGCAGAACGGGCAGACGGGCAGACGGGCAGACGGGCAGGCAGGCAGACGGACAGACGGACAGACGGACAGACGGACAGACGGACAGACGGACAGACGGCAGACGGACAGACGGACAGACGGACAGACGACAGACTGGACAGACGGACAGACGGACAGACGGACAGACGGACAGAACGGACAGACGGACAGACGGACAGACAAGACGGAGCAGACAGGCGGACAGGGACGGACAGACGGACGAGACGGACAGACGGACAGACGGACAGACGGACAGACGGACAGACGGACAGACGGACAGACGGACAGACGGACAGACGGACGAACGGACAGACGGACGAACAGACGGACAGACGGACAGACGGACGAACGGACAGACGTGGACAGACGGACAGACGGACAGACGGACAGACGGACAGATCGGACGGACAGACGGACAGACGGACAGATCATCGAGACGCATCAGCATCTTTTATCAGCATCTTATCGCGATTTGACAGACGACAGACGGACAGACGGGCAGACGGGCAGACGGGGCAGAACGGGCAGACGGGCAGACGGGCAGACGGGCCGATCGGGCAGACGTACGATTTGGCAGACGGGCAGACGGACAGACGGACAGACGGGACAGACGAACGGACAGACGGACGAACGGACAGACAGACGAACAGAACGGACAGACGGACAGACGGAACGGATCGACGGACAGACGGACAGACGGACAGACGGGACAGACGGACAGACGGACGATCGGACAGACGGACAGAACGGACAGACGGACGGACGGACAGACGAACAGACGGACGGACGGGACAAGACGGACAGACGGACGCAGACGGACAGACGGACAGACGCAACAGACGGATCAGACTTAGACGGACAGACGGACGAACGGACAGACGGACAGAAGGACAGACGGACAGACGGACAGACAGACGGACGGACGAGACGGACAAGACGGACAGACGGACAGACGGACAGACGGACAGACGGACAGACGGACAGACGGGCAGACGGGCAGACGGACAGACGGGCAGACGGGCAGACGGGCAGACGAGGCAGACGGCAGACGGACAGACGGACAGACAGACAGACGGACAGACGGGCAGACGGGCAGACGGGCAGAACGGGCAGACGGACAGACGGACAGAACGGACAGACGGACAGACGGACAGACGGACAGGACGGACAGACGGACGAACGGACAGACGGACAGACGGACAGAACGGGCAGACGGGCAGACGGGCGAACGGGCAGACGGGCAGACGGGCAGACGGGCAGGCGGGCAGAGCAGACAGACGGACAGACGGACAGACCGACAGACGGACAGACGGACGAACGGACAGACGGACAGACGGACAGACGGACAGACGGACAGAGACAGACAGACAAGGACAGACGGACAGACGGACAGACGGACAGACGGACAGATCTGGACAGACGGACAGACGGACAGACGGACAGACGGACAGACGGACAGACGGACAGACGGACAGAGCGAGGCAGGCGGGCAGACGGACCGACGGACGAGATCTTAACAGACGGACAGACGGACAGACGGACAGACGGACAGACGGACAGACGGACAGACGGACAGACGGACAGACGGACAGACGGACAGACGGACAGACGGACAGACGGACAGACCATACCTATTAGTATGGTCGGTTAAAAATAATGGTATTTAAGATAATATACAAGAAAAAGAATTTTTAACATCCTGTAACTCTAAAACTATGCATTTCCATACCAATGTTAATAGGACCTGTTTTTCGTATTTTTTTTGATGAGTACTTATTTAAAACTTTCGCATATTAATGATATTATTTTTTTTAAAGGATTTTATTAGACTTGGATCAAGGCAAATTAATAAAATTGTCTCATCACGGAGACTGAAATCGACAAAATATCAAAAGAATTTTTAATCGGCATTAAATTGCGTACATGCTTTTTTAGAAAAATATTCCAGTGATAACCAATATGCACGTCCTTAGTGAATATATCGACACTTTTTTAGTATTAAAATATGTCGCATTTATAGTAACTTCTACTCTCAAAATTTCATTCGAAACGCTAAAAGTACTTGCAGGAAAATTATAATAAATCGAAAAAATATAAAAACTTTAACACTCTGTAGCTACGAAACAAAGCAGAATCGGACATATGTTGATATGAAAAATAAATCTTATTTTTACGTGAGAAATCTCCCCACGAGAGAGGACACATGTTTTTTGAAACACGCTGTATATATTTAATGTAAGTTTTAAAGAAAAAATAATTTTTTACCTATTTAAAGTTAAATTAAATTTTACTTTATTGATTATTTCTTGCCCGAAATAAAATTTAGTTATTATTAATTATTTCTACTACTATGACATATTTTCCATTCGCTCATATGAATATTTGATGTTATATGAAACTACTCAATTACACTGTAAAAATAGGTAATACCCTAGGTAATACAAATACGTATGATCGAAAAAAACGACGTTAGCAATGGCTATGAAATGAAGATCGCTGGCATTTTATATGTAAAATTATATGGACAATGTCATCAATGTTAATTTCCAAGCCAACTGGACGCCGTTTTTTCGATCATACGGTATTGTAAAGTAATATATATTGTTTGAAATTTATTTAAAAAATATGATTTTCAATAAAATGTTGATTTTATTTCTTATTTCTCATTTTAAATTGTATTTCTATGTGGTATCTCTATGTTTATAAAAAAAAAGTTATACATTATATACCGGGTGTTTCTCAGTGTGGCTCATTCCTATAACTTTTTTATTTTTTTCATATAAAAAAAGAAATTTAGTATGTTACATAAATCAGGACTGATTGACGTATTCAATTAATTGTTTTCGGTCACTTCCTGGACACCGGAAATGACTACAAACTTTTGATTTTTAAAAGTATTATGTCTGTATTTTTTACGTTATTCGATAGAGAATGACACTCCGCAAATATTCTAGAGATATGGAAGGAATATTTCCTGGATTAATTCAAATAAAATGACATATCATATGTGAACTTTTGACATTTCCGCATATGGTTTATTTGATATTGTAACATGCGGTCCATAATGACAATTTGACTCGAAATACCAAGTGTGTGAAAAAATTCCTTCTCCAAATATGAGCCAATAAGCCACCCTTGTGCCATTTAAACAAATTGAGATATGATTAAAAATACGATTTAGACATCTTTTAACAGGCCAGAAAAATTTACGAAAAACATTAAACGATCAAATCTATTTTTCCAAGGCTCCTTGATTAAAAATTAGTGCTTTTAACACAACCATGGCGCACCCTAGATTCAAATTTAAAATACCATTGTTTTTTAAACGAAAATGTCAAAAGTGGATATGTGCATTTTATTCAGAGCGTCATTTTCTATAGAATAAAGTAAAAAAATGCCGAGGGTGCCATTTAAAAATAAAAAATTGTAGGTAATCAATTCCGGTGAAACAGGAAGTGACCGAAAACAATTAAATACGTCAATCAATCCTTATTTTATGTCATATACTAACAAACAAAATCCCGTTTTTTATCTGAAAAAATATATATAAAACTTATAGGCCACATTTGAACACCCGGTATACATTAGTTATACGTTATTGTTTCTTGTAATATCTACACAAAATTCTTGAAAACTTTTGATAAAACATATTTTTTATCTCTATTTTAGTATTTTACGTCACTTGTCGTTTGACAATGTTCCTTAGTTTTTATAATAAATTAATTACAAGTTTCTTGTTAATAGAAAAAGAAAATCAATAAAATAGTTGTTAATGTTTCTGCAGTACTGCACTAAAATTTCTCTAAATATTTCTCAAATTAAAGCGAATACGAGTATGCTAATGATTTGTTCTGTTTGTATCGTAAAGTTATCACCTAGGAGAGAATATTGTATTTATGTTAACCCTTATTCTCTTGATGTGCTTGATGTTTAGTAAATATCAAACTGAACTTTTAGAAGAGTGTAAGCTTACATTTATAGGTGAGTAAAACACGACATGTTTGGTATCAAGATAAGTAATATATTTTTATTTAATCTATTTTATTAGACACAATAAACTATTCTGTTTCTTAGTCACGTATTTCTGTAAAGGGTGTCGTTGGTTTATTTTTCGAAAACGTTGTCACCAGTATATCCTAGCATGTTCATTAGTTCAATGGGAGATATATTTTCTGCAAGTACCTTCTTCTCGTCTAGGGAGCACTGCTTGTCTATGTGGCACGCATCTATAAATAAAAATATATGATATTAAAATCATTATTACTTATAAAAAGTTTTTAGTAAAAGTAAAATAAATAAAAATAAAGTATACCTAAAAATAATAAAGAATAATGTTTTATGTATAGAAACATGGTTCAAATTAACTAGTAATTTATTTCAAACTCTGAAAACAATATGTCAGCGATGGCTATGAAATGAAGATTGCTGTCTTTTATATGTAAAATTATATGTGGAGTGTCATATTGATGTTCATTTCCAAGCCAACTGGGCGCCGTTTTTTTTTCGATTCAAGTATAATCGTACCCTTTAAAGGTATATGCTACACTGCTCTATAGAAAAACACAGAATATAATAGATGTTTCTTATTCTGTGTAGGAAAGTAAGGTTGAAAAATTATTAGAACTAAAAATCGTTTTCAGAAATGCAATCAGTGTCTGTGAGTTTCATTTAAAAGAATGGTGATGCTCCTTTTTTTCGAATAAAGTTGAAACAATGTAACGCAGAAATTAATTTAGTTCGATGGAGAAGGTGCATATACAGGGTGTCCCAATATTCCGTAGACATAGAATTACTACGCACATTTGGAATAAAAATAAGTTCATCGAAAAAAAAAATTTCCGAAGTTGACTTCCAAAAAATATTTTTTTTTGTCACATGAAGCTAGGGAGGCGCATAATAAAATATTTTATGCTCAAATTATCTAGTTGGCGACACTATGGAATTTTATGTTAGTTTACAAATAATATTTGACAATAAACTTCATAAAAAAAACTTAAAAATTTTATTGATTCTCTCTAACGGAGACAAACGAACGACTTTTGCATAAAGGTAAATTATGTGCAATTAACTTATTTTGATTTAAAAATACGTAGTTGTCCACGAAATATTGGAACTCCCTGTATATCTTGTAGGTCGGCTTTGGAAAAATAAATTCTGCAAATAAAATTTCCTCAAAAACTATGCGATGTGGCGTTTTTTATAAGATACAAAAAAAAGTAAATACTCCACGGATCATTTTATGAAAAGAAAATCTGTCGTCGGTGGAGATATTATATATTTATACTAAGATATATGTAGGGTTGGGGGTAGTTTTCACCCTTCCCGTAGTATATCTTGCTTTTTTTGAAAGCCAAATGTTAAAGCACTTAGCAAAACATAGACACCCCAAATCTCATTCAATTCGGAATAACGGTTCGTAAAATATCTGAAAAAATATGTTTATTTTTTTAAAGTTTGAAGACGCCCTCTAGCCGACAAACTCACTTTTGTATAAAGATATACTGTGTCCAATGAACTTATTTGGATTACAAAAAATAATACGTGGTAGTTTTATATCCATGAAATATAGGGACAGCCTGTATATGAAAATCCAAAATAAATTAATTCATTTTGAATCACCCTATACATTATTACCTTGGCTGCAGCATATGCCATCCATGGTACATCTGCCCGTATTTTTCCTACAGTTTGCTGATCCAGCTATGCAAGGGTCTTTTTCATGAAAGAACCCATCTCGATGACATTTGATGGTTTCGGGGGTTCCCATCAGACACCCAAAAGGTCCGCAACATATTGATGGACCAAAACATTGACCTGTTCCCCCGGGACCGCATGCTATGCACTACAAATTAAATAGATTAGAAAATTAAAAAAGAAAAATTCAAATTATTAGATAGATGTCAACAAAAATAACAACATTAAATCACAATCTTTTACCTAGAAGCTGTTCTAACAACTTTTGTATGACATACCGAAATAAGAATTCTTTGATTAGTTCCATATTCACACAAGTTTTACATTTCTATAGTCTGTCCAACAAGTCAGAGAAGACGACATCCAAAAAATTACAGAAAATACAATTTACTTGTGAATTTAAATGACAGACACCACTGTCACTATTATGGATCCATACGTTGAACAGACTATAGTCTGAACGGTTTTTAAAATAGTGTATAATAATATGCATAAATTTGTATAACCAAATAACTTTGTAGGGAGGCCTCACAGCAAAAAGAAATATATTTAAACCCCGCTTATATTTAACTTACATTTTTAGTTACACAGTGTAGAGAATAATATTTGTAAATAAATCAAGTCAAAACAAGTTTTTTGATAATCAATGGTTCAATATTTACTAGCCCTATTCAAATTTTAATTAGAACTTTAGAAACCTAGTCGATAAGAAAGTAACTGTAATATTTTTGCAAACTTTGAGTTATATCATTAAATCCACTGAAGATAATGACAGCTTGATCAGAAGATGAGGACAGTGATTAATTAAGATTTTTTTTCATCGATATCAATTTTAGAAAATATTGTTTTTATACCTATGAAATGATTAATCAAATCAATATTATAAATTATTACAAATATATCTGTTTTATATGGGGGCACAATAGATCTTTAAGGTCGCATTTACTAACCCCCCCCCTCCCTTTCACTCATCTGTTTTATATATAAAAATAAGTTAAATATAAATTAGAGATAAGTAACATTTATATACATATTTAATAAACTTTGTTTAAATAAATAATAATAATGTTTTGATAAAATAAATAATGGTGTTTTTTTAAGTCGCCGATTTTAAAACTACAGGTTCAGACTAATAAAAAATAATTATAATAGTAATGTCAACGAAAAATGAGCGATTATGTTAGTTTAATTGACTAATTGCATGAAGTCTTGCTATATAATTATTATTGTTTGTTATAATTTTGTTGGCACAATACATTAAAAATATTTTTGAAAAACTTGATAGTTCAATTTGAAATTCATTTTTAATAAAAAAAAACACTATAAAATATTTGATGTTTTTGGTGAATAACAATTAATAATATAAGCAAAATATCCTCTTTCGATCAAAATAAATTGATAAATGCTCAGTATATTTTTTAATAAATTTTAATGAGATTATTACACGTTTTTCACAATTGTGCTTGATATGAGATACGTTTTATTGCATCTTACACGCAAATACTTTATAAAGGATGTTCTGTATAAAGTATATGATTAATAAATTGATTAGTTATATTTGGACTAAACATTTTGAGTTTTGCTTAATTTATAAAATCTAAAGTATATTAAAACTTCTAATTCCAAAATAATAATAAAAAATTCCTAATTATTTTTTGGTTAAATTTTGAGAAGCACTGTATATTTTCTGTGTTTTCTCATTTGATAATTTAATCTACTACTTATGTTGCCATATTATAAGGATATGATTTTTAATTTAAAATTAAAAAAATATGAAACTTTTTTTCAATTTTTTTTTCTCGAAAAGAAAACTATAGACGTGTTTCTGGGGTCAAAATCTACTTATCCTAAAAGTATTTGCACTTTTTGGGACTCACCCTATATAATCAGCCAATAACAGACAAATATATACCATACTATCTAAAAAAAGACATTAGAGTTTGCTTGGATTTGAAAATTAGTATTATTTTAGAGGTATGTTTATGTGAAAAATTACATGTTCTAGCCAACTTGAAACGGGTTTTTTCGTTCATATGGTATTAATCTTAAGTAATATTATTACTGGGATTTTTACACATTTTTCACAATAGCGCTTGATGTGATATGAGTTTTATTGCAACTCTACACTTTATAAAGAATATTATGTTTAAAGCATATGATTAATAAATTGGTTAGTTATATTTGGACTAAAAATGTTGGGTTTTGCGTAATTTATAACCTACAATATTTTAAAACTATGAACTTTTCGAATAATGAAAAATTCTAGAAAAAATGTCAATTCAAAATCCATTAAGGGTTTTTTATACAAGCTATTTAAAGACTCTTAAATACTCTACCTATACCTATAAAAATATTATTCTGCGTCTATTGTATAATCAATTTTTCGATAATCGATAATAAATCGACATCCAATGTTAATCCAGTTATATTTTTAAGTTTTAACTTTAATAATGTGTTCAAATATCTTACTTCAGCTGTCACACTCACTCTAAAGAACTTCAGAGATAGAGAATAAGGCTCGAAGCTACTGTGTCGCGTTTATTCAATCATTCTGTATTTCTTATATTTTAAACCTACCTGTTTGATGTTGCTCTTCTCCAAAAGGGCAAACTTCCCAGATCTTTTACCACCTCTGGGACAATTTGTGATCAAACAGCCCGACGCGAGAATATCTCCTAAGAACATAATAAACATAAATCTGTAGAGTGTTTTCAAAAAACTAGAAGTTGAAGAATTCTTTTGTGAACCCATAGCACCTTTCGACTTGCACACTCTGTTTCGAATGTGTCGCTTAAGCCAATTTCTTGCTTTATATATGTCTTATTCACTTATTCACTTCACCTACTTGAGAATATATATATTTTTTTATTTTTATTGCCCCAGACTTTAAGAAAGGAATTTTAATTTCATATGTATCTGAGTGGTACAATTGACATGGTTTTTGAATTTAGAGAAACGTTCGTGCTGGTTTTCATATGGTAATCAAAGCTGGATTGACGCATGAAGTGAGTTCAAAAAAGTAGGCATAGTTAGATTGGTTGGAACGTGGTGAGTATATGTAATGTCAGATTCGGAAGATGACTTCAATAATAATCAGATAAAAGTGGTGGTCCTAGGAGAACAAAACGTTGGTAAGGTAAGTGTATCACCAATTTATATACATTAAAATTTTTGTGTTTTACTAATAACGATTAGTTAAATGATTTAAAATTGAATTTATTTTTAGTTTAAATGTTACAAAAAATATCCTGTTGTTATTTTTTTTTAAATTAAATTTTAAATTACAATACCTACATAAAAATATTTCTTATTCAAATTAAATGGATCTATAGTTACTTTAATAATGCGAAACATTTGCTATATAATTTTTATAATTGAGATAAAAAATCAAAAACTAACCCATTATTTACAAATTATTTAACAAATAACTACTGGTTTCGAAAAAAAAACATTCTCTATCCTCAAGTCAAAGCATCTAAATATAAAGTTACCTATGTAGGTTTTATTAATTATGAAAAAATATAACAACTATTTAGTTATAAAACCAGTCAAAAAGTACAACAAATTAAATAGTAAAAGTAAAGCAATACAAAAAATCAATATTTATGGTTTTATGGTATACAGGGTACAGGGGGAGTCTTAAATAAGTGCAAATATTTTCAGGGCTGGTAGATCTCGATAAAAGAAACATATTTTATCTTTGCCGTTTTCAAATAATTCCGAAATAACCAAGTTATTTTACTACAAGAATTTATGAAAAAGAATGATTCTTTGGATAAAATTTGAGAAGTACTGTTGTATCTTTTCTAGAGTTTCTTACTTGTAAATTTAATCTACCACCTATGTTGCTTTAGAAAAAAAAATTCTCGAGAAAAACCTCAAAGACATGTTTCTGAGGTCAAATTATAGTATTCCTAAAAATATTTGCAATTATTTAAGACTCACCCTGTATAATCAAAAGATAACAGACAAATATATACCATACCATCAAAAAAAAGGCGTTAGGGTTTGCTTGGATTTAAAATTTGGTATTATTTAAGAGAAAAATAACATTTCTAAGCCAACTTGACACCGTTTTTTCCGTTCATGTGGTATTAATCTTCAGTAATAGAGTGATTCTTTAATATCTTAAATTTAAAATGGTACAAAATAACAAAAAGTCGGGAAAATTAATGAAATATAAATTAAATTAAATACAATTAACAATTCATAAAAAAATCACACATGCTTAAAAAGACAAACCAAAATGAAAAAATAAAATAAAAATATGGTCTAGAAATACTGTATTTCGTCAATACGTATTGACTTATTCTTAATAAAATGTAAGTCGGAGGCTTATATTGGACATCTACCGCTAAAGTTGTTGATAGTTGTAAATTATTATACGACACTAAATATAATATTGTTTAATGCCCTAAGACGTCAAGTTGCAATATTAGTTCTACGACATATATAAATTGTTTTCTTTTGATCACGTCATATATGCGTTCGATTATTTTCCATTACACGATTTGTCCTATCTTGATTAATTGTGCACTTTTTAACACAGTTTTATATTATAAAAGGGTCATCGTACACTAAAAAATTATGACAAATATAAGTAATTTTTATTGTATTGTATTCTTATATGCTCTTTTTTCCCTATTCTTTGTACAGCAAACCAAATTTCAAAAACTTTACGATATAAAACTAGAGTAACAGAGACTACAATACGATAATAACGATGTCAGCATTGAACTATCGTATGATCCGTATGAAATGAAGATCGCTGTCATTTTATATGTAAAATTATATAGGAAATGTCATCGATCGTCACTTCATAGCCATCGCTGACGCCGTTTTTATTCGATCATACGGTACTTGAACTGGAATCATATTGCATCAAAAATGTCAAGAATGATCAATGCACTATAATAATGTTGATAAATCTTATTGTAACTTATAATTTATAATAATGTACCAAACCAAACCAAAAGGAATAAAAAATAAAACCTGGAAATAGTACTACTTGAATAAGTAATGAGATATTCTTAATAACATTTAAGCTCCAGATTTACTATACCAATAATAAAGTTGGTGATAGGTATTCATAAATTATTTGAAGTAACTAAATACAATTTTGTCTAATGGAGATGGCTAAACACTCAAACTGAAATGTTAATTCAGTTACTACTGAGATCCTTTTCTTTGAATCACGCGGTATACAATCCGTTCTATGGTTTCCCACTATATAATTTGTTCTATCTTAATTAGTTGTGAACGAATATCTCTTGAAATTAGAAAAGGTTAATCATACTCCAAAAAATTATGACAAGTTTAAATGTTTTCTTTGATGTATTTTGTTGTTATGTGCAGCATTTTCCAGATATCACAAAATGTATTTTTATTTCCCTTTTTGTAATACTATTATTTTATAGAGTTTAATAGATTAGTTGTATATATACGTTTAATATACTTATATGTATAGTGCATATATATTATTCGTGCATAGACAGGTAATATTTCAATATTAAAATAAGTAAAAATGCCAATAAAAGAATTAACAATATATATAAGAAAAAACTTTTTGTTTAATTTTGCTCTTCTGTTATTTTTGTTGATCTTAATAATATAATAAATTAATACATTTTAGATATCCAGTTACATTTTCTTGTTATTCAAATTTTTCTTGTCAAAAAATATGCAATATATTATTTGTAATTTTAAGTGCTTGGTGTATAAATATATTTTTTTTAATTTTCCTATTATAACACCGTTCACTTAGGTATATTTTGTTATGTATTATTTTTAGACTAATATAATCAAAAGGTACTGCTATGACGATTTTTCGAGAATTTACGTACCAACGGTGGGAGCTGATTTTTTTATTAAGAGGACATCACTATCGAAAAATAAAGAGATAACAGTAAGATTTACTGACGTCAGCGGCCTTGAACTGGCAGGGCATATGTTAAAAACCTATTTATTTCAAGTAAATGTAAGTATTGAATTTTTAACAAAATTGAAATCAATTTAAAATATATACACAAATATTCTATAAAATGAACATTCATAATTCCATATTTTGAATGATAAGTGGATGTAATTTTTGTGATCTACGAGTATAATCATTAAATTATCTATCCTTGATATATTTAAACAGAATTTTATAGATAAAAATCTCAAATTTGTTATTCTAAACTTTTTTTAACAAATGCCACGACCTTTATTTATAATTTAGGATTTATTTTGTGTTTGAATTACTTGATTTCCAACGTTGCCTCAATAAAACGTTTATTGATCTTTTGACTTTACAACTCTACGTGAACATCAATTATAAATGAGCTTTTGTAACGTAGGATGGAGCATATCCGTCCATCTTATTATTAACAATATTATTAACATGCATTTATCAACTTGACCTAAATTAGGTATAAAAATTTTATATCTTTTATTTTCGTAAAATTTGCAAAATAATTTGAAACCCCTTTTTTAATTAAGTTAGTTATTTTATTAAATATATTAATGCATTATTTTTTAGATCGTTATATTGGTATATGACATTACCGAATACAAAAGTTTTGATTCTCTTGCTATATGGTTAAGAGTAGTAGATCAAATAATAGAAAATAATACGGAAAGTCAGAAGCTAATAGCCGTTTTTGGCAATAAATGTAAGTATATAACCATTTTACTACTTTTTTCTGTCACTTTTTTGACCCGTTCAACTACTATCTTTGTAGAGCATTGCAGTCTTAAAACTTATTTTAGTTAGCAAAAAATACATTAATTCACTTAAATACTCCAAAACAGTTAAAGTTTTTAAAGTATTTTAGGGTATTGAGGTTATTTTATTGTTCAAGAGTTCTAATAGTACGAGAGCTAGCAACGTCGGAAAAACAAGTATTTTAGAACGTCTGGCTCTTTGATATATCTTTTACTATGCTCTCTAGAGCAGCATGCGGCCCGTCTGGCAGCCGGTAAACGTTGCTTTCCCTACTGCGCATTGAAAGAAGATCCTATATTTTTATTAGCCCTTTAAATTCTAGTATTGAATATAAATCGAACATGTCTCCATAGCGCAGTGCGTAGAGTTTCCGACCACGAACCTATGGTTCAGAGTTCGAATTCGGGTCAGGGCAAAGACTTTTTATTTTATTTTTGTTTATATTCTGATAGTAAAGTATTAAATATTTGTTTTATTTAATTACCAGAATTATTTAATACTTTACTATCAGAATATAAACGAAAATAAAATAAAAAAGTCTTTGACCTGACCCGGATTTGAACTCTGAATTATCGGTTCGTGGTAGGAAACTCTACGCACTGCGCTATGGAGACATGTTCGATTTATATTCAACACTAGAATTTATAGGACTAAATTAATAAAAAATATAGGATCTTCTTCCGATGCGCAGTAGTGAACGCAACGGGTATCGGCAGCCACACGGGCCGCATGCTGTTCCAGAGAGCATAGTAAAAGAGAGTATATCAAAGAGCCAGACGTCTTAAAATACTTTCTCGAAAACGTTGCTAGCTCTTAGACTATAACCCCACCTGTATTTTTATTGTATTGTTAGGATGTTTTCGATAGACGATATTTAAAAAATGACAGACAATACATTTTTCCTATGAATTAAAATGACAGACACAACTGCCACTCTCAGGGATCCTCCTGTTGGACAGACTTATAAAAAATGTGTCTTATCTTTTTTGTCCCCAGCTATAGAGTGATAGTAAAGGTTTCTTTTCATATTGTCCTCTTGAGGATTTGCCAAATTCGCAAGTATCCAAATTTCCCTGTTTTAACAAAAAAAACACGTTAAAACGCGCAAAGAAGCGGCAGGTGTCCAGTTTCTATCAAGCTGTCGATTAGTAACGAAAAAAATCTTGGCATTCCCGGCCCGTTTAACGATCAATCCTTTGAGAAAGAGATAGGCGAGATGTAGAACTTTCTTTTTGCAGATGTAGGTAATAGCAATCAAAATACGCCGTTGGCGTATTTTCATTGCGTTGATAAGTCTCTGGGGGTAAGTTTTTTTTAGATTGCACGCGAAACACTCCACCGATTATCGTTTATGGGCATGTGGAACTGCGGGTTGTCAAGTTTCACGGTCTGGCTAGATGCAAGAACTAATCTAAAATATTTTTTTCGTAAATATCGTACTCTTCATGTCTTTTGTCTTTTCTTCTTTCAAAACGTAATGGTAAAAATGTGAAAACTGGCAACGCGACAAGCAGTGATAGGGTGCTCTATAGACGCACACAAGTGATATACGCGACTCAATTTGCGCCTAGCCTTAGTTTGTAGATGTTTTAATAAAGTTCTTTTTACACTGTATTAAGTTGCATTATTTTTAATTAAAGTTATATTTTAGGTGATCTAGAACATAAGAGATCAGTGAGATTGGATAAAACAAATCATTTCATCAACGAACATCAATTAGTCAATTACTTCGTTTCTGCCAAAACAGGAGAAAATGTACGAAATCGAATATTTTGAAAGGATCTTTTTAAAAATCGATCTCTTGTCTTATTTTTCAGATAAACTCTGCGTTTACTGAACTGCTGGCCAGATATTTCAACGTGCCATTAACCAGACTAGAAAAGGAAAAACAAAAAATGGTAATGAAGGCTGAACTAATACCTAATACACCTGTGATAAGTACGAAGAATGGCTGTAGTAAAATGAAAATGAAAAATAATGTGAATACTGTTAAGAACAAGAATAAAAAGAACAACGCTGTTCGTTCGGAGAACTCGTGCACAGTTCAGTAACAGAACAGTTTTATTAGTATAATAATTTCATTTTAATATTTAAATATAATGCCATAATAAGGCCAATTGTCATTCAATTGTACAACATAATAATGCGTATTTTAACTTAATTATCATAGCAGCAAAACTTGCTAATAACGAACGTACGTAGTATATTTATACTAAGGGCTGGCAAAGGTTAGTCTTGGGTCGAGATTTCCGTATGTAAGAAGAGTACAATGCGTTTATAATGTACTGATCGAAGAGAGAAGAGTAAACACGTTGCCAAACGTATGAAATGAATTGAGAAACTTTGCACATTGCTAAGAGACGTGGAAGGGGATATAGCACATTTGTCGCAGTTGACCGGTCGACCCAATCAGTACTTCTGTCAGTACTTAAAGTTCTAGGGAAAGGTGTACATCATGTGTTCAGCTTCGCGATTTAATTACGTCTCGTGATACTTTATTTGTTTATTTATTAAAGAGTCGTTGTAATTTTCCCTATCGCTTGAAAATTTTTAAGTGCAAGCTAGAAACACTTGCATTTTTGGTAAAAATAAGTGGAATTGAGTTGGTTTTCGACAGTGGTCGGGCTATTAGAACTCCGAATTCAAAAATCGATACCTCAAAATCTATTAGAAATAATTGATTGCAGTTTTTTCAAAGACTTTCTTAATATTTCTGCTGTATTTTCTTCGTAGACAGTAAGTGAAAATCTTTATCAATAAAAAAATTACACGACTGCTGAAAATTGCTATGTAAAAGTAAATAGATAGATTATTTACAATTTTTGAATGGAAAAAAACATCCTTATCGAATTTTTCTTAGGTAAAAACATTTTGTAAAAGATCCTATCTTCAAAATAAAAAAGTTTCAGTATCTAAAGTGTTTTTTGAGTTATGGCGTGTTATGTGTTAAAAAGTTGAGTTTTATAGTATCGCGATTACTGACGTTTTCTCATTATAAAAAAAAATGACACCTTAAAGATATCCTTATAATTCCATTTCAGATGCTCAGAAACATTTCTAAAGATTTTATCCAGTTATCTTTTCCAAAAAAAGTCTTTTAAATAAGCGGTTTTCGATCGTGACTTTACTTTACTTGATATGCGTATGGCGATGAAAGGCGTACCGGCAACGCCGCAACAGCACTCCGTCGCATTTCTCTCACTCCGACTTAATAAGATCCCTATGCGATTTACTTCCACACATGTAAATACCGACTCAAGAGTAACAGTTGCCAGCACGGTATGAAATGTAAAATGATTGAATTTTTTTATACGAAATTTTTATATAGAATGTTCGGGGAATGTCCATTATCACAAGCTATATTGTTTTTCATTAAATCAGAGCTACACACTCTCTAGAGGTCACATCAAACATTCTATTCAAGAGGATTTTTACTACATTTTCATCAAAAAGAAGTATTTTTTTTAAGTAAAGATATAACTCGTATAAATTTTAGTTGCAATTAGATAAAGATAGTAGGTATTATTAACGCAGTAAAAATTAGTATTTTGATATAATTATTGTACGGTATGATCGAAAACGGTATCCAGTTGGCATTGGCTAGGAAATTACGATATTTCCCATATAAATTTACATATAAAATTACAGCGATCTTTATTTCATAACCATCGTTGACGCTGTTTTTCGATTATATTGTAGATTTAGCAGTAGCTATGGAAATTATATTGATAATATGGAAATATACATAATACCTATATTTACAGACGTACAATTATACATATCCATAAATTCATCGTATCTTGTCAGCTATCTTGTCAGCTAATCTATACCTATAAAGTGTACAATTTAAAACTGCGGTACTAAACACTTACTGGTTAAACCAACAAAAAATAATACAATTTCTACTAACAATTAAAGTACTTATTTACCCGAAGTATTTAAAAACGATTCTTTTTTGCTGAATTTGGATGATTTATTAGGTTTGTTCCAACCCGCCGCAGAACCGTCACCGAATCACGCTCGTGCGCAGTAATTCAAATGTGTTCCAACCGAGATTTGACGGTTATCGGACGATCCTATTTGCGTACCAACCTACCTTGGGATCGTTTAGTTACGATTTCAGAACGGTAATTTCGGTACATGGTCCAAATTGAGAACTGTTTGGGTTGACTTGCGCATTAAAGCATATTGGCAAAGATTATCGATTTTTATCGATTCTGGTCCGGCGTCCGGCTGATGCTTCTATCTTGGTTATTTTTTACCAATTCGAATACGTGTGCGTTATACCCTTGTTATACTTTTGCTTGTGAGGTTGTGTGGAGACACAAAAGTATAGTAGTATAATAGTACAAGCAAAAGTATAGTAGTATAAAAGTATAATAGTATTTATAGATAATAATTAAGGACGAGTGGCGATGGTATGACCGATTTCTTTACCTCCACTTCAGATAATAACAATTTGAAGTTGCTGCCTAGTGAAAGGGTGAAAAATGAACAATATTTAGGTAAGCTTTAATTGTATTTTCTTGTTTCCTCGAACAAAAACAAAAAACCGATCGATACACGCACGCTTGACATTTTGACAGTCCCGAAAACAATCCACAAAGCGTTCCAACGTTGATACTTTTTGCACTATCACGAAACTATTCGAAGTCCGCGCATGCTAACAAAGTGCAAGAAAACCGATTCGAGTACGATTTCGAAACGATCCCGAAATGCTGGTTGGAACAAACCTATTGTTAATAAGTCTCTTCTTCAACCGTTTTCATATTTTTTACGTCTAATAAAAAATATGTATAAAATAATTAATTATGTATTATAATGTCGACGTTAGAAGATAAATATATCTAAACATATAATTATATCTAAAACATATAATTATACAACAAATGTATCACGATACCCTTGTGACAAATCTTTTCGGATTAATCACTTGTCTATGGGTATCGTGACTATTTTATAATTATAAAAAACAATTAAGTTGAGCGGAAGGCAAACTTGGATAAAAAGTACACCGACTCTTTGGAGCGTATGCTTAATGCTTTGTCTTAGTGCTGTTAGTCTCTCAAATCTATTATATAACTTACCTTATTTGCGGCCCGACCTCTGTCTGTAAATATGTAGCTCATTTCTCGAGACTTTTCGGGACTGCTCTGGAGATATTCTGCCCGTTCATAAGGATCTTATTTATATACTTTTAAAGCACTCTTATTTTTTACTATCGAAAAAAACGGCCGAGTTTTTAGAAAACATTTAAATTTAATATTAAAAAGAAAATAAAGAACAAATAAAAAAATATATATGTATATGATCGAAATTACTTGTTATTAATATAAATAGAAAATAGATGGAAAAATACAAGAAAATTGTCTGGTGTCTGCTTTGTTGAAAAATCTGATAATTACATAATCAATTGAACCTTCATTACTAAATCTTAACACATTAAAATAATTTTAGAGAAGAAAATTAAAAACAGAAATTAAAAACATTTGACAAAAGGACATAAAAAAAATACTATTAGCAGACACTAGACTTAAAAACTACAGGGGGTCACATCGTGAACGTTACCGAGTTTCGCGAACCCGAGGGAGAACCGTCTCTTTTAGAAACTTAAACCGAACTAACTTTTCTGCCTAAAAACAGCCCCAAGGTTCCAACATTACAGGGTTGAAGGGTGGTGCATTCGGTACTTCGCCAATAGGATCATCCCTAAAGGTACTGTTCTTTGCTTGATTGGTCAGCTTGACACCGCCCTTCAAACCAAATAGGTTCGACCTCCCGTTGTTAGATGGCAGTACTATGACCATTTTACGTATTTAATCCTAGTTTACGTCTAGATACGTGCTTTCCTAAAGTTCCCAGATCCTTTACAAACATCCGGCGATAGTTACATGTTATCAAGGGTGGTTATTGGTTTTACAATGTCCCAGCGTTTTTATCTAAGGTCTATCTTTACAATTTTCTGTTTACTTCTAAGTTCTACAGTTTATTTGCTTTGCCCTTCTATAAGTTTGGGAATTTAAAAATAGTCACGTTTGAAAGATGTTTGTTTTATTACTTCCTGCTAAAAGACCCTCTCCCGAAACTAATAACCGAAAACATCGACTTGAACGTAAAGGACATAGGAAATAATCTGTTAATAATATAAATAATAATATAAAGTAAATAATCTGTTACAATTTGCCCTCCCCTTAAGAGGGAAGCTATTGTTTCCAAAAAAAAAAAAAATAAACTAAATCTGAAAAGAAACAATATAAGAAATATGACGCAAATAAAATTAAATAAGATAATATGGTCAACACAAATGAAACAATAGGTTCACGATATGATTCCTGCTTACATTACGCTAATCTTATACTAACTATTAAAAATTACACTTAATACTAAAAATATATCTGCGGCGAACAATTTGCTTTCGCGCAACCCGATCACTATTACTCGATCGATGAAACACTCCACTCCCGTTCTCACAGTTCTTGATCGATGCTTAATTTCTTGTGTAGATGGAACCGAAATAATGTGGATGTTTCCATGAATACTATGTGGATGTCTCATTCAGATTAACAATAAGACCTCGCTGGAACTGCGCTTCTACTTGAAGATTAACCAAAATCCCGCTTTGACGTTATAATAAATCTGGATGTGGGCTCTGCATGAAGGAATCCATCTTGTTGTCCTTCTCATTGATGTCATCTGATGACGTTTATTGGCAAACTGAATTATGAAAAGTAGGTACACATGTCTTGAGTAGAAACTGGCATAGGTCACACGAACGAACGCATGCCTATAGAGGTTAAACCGCCTCTGCTCGGTCCTCCGTGCCTCGTTTGTAATCTCTTACTATGCATCAAGTCCATTCTGGACAGTGAGGCTTTCAATCAGAGAAATTATAAGGGTCGCTTCTATGTTGCTTACATCCGTATTACGTTGTCGATTATTTCTGACTGTTCTGATACTTTTTGAGCTGCAGGATTTAGTTGCAGGATAGCCAGATGTTTCCACTCTCTAACAGTTTAGGTTAGACATATTTTAACTAAAAGAATGATATCTG